CGATTGTTGCCAAGGTGGGCCTGCCAAAATCCGATGGTTCAGTTAAAAAATCAAAAAATTACGGCGAGCTACGAAAAAGAGAAAAAGTAGTACTGTATTCTATAATTTTTACTCTATCGAAGCGTTACTAGAACTCCTTCTGAGGATTGATATGAAACTTTTAAAAAACCGTGAAACTTGACCATCTCAAAAAGCATCGATCGCAGATTTTGGTTATTTTCTGAAAGCTTATTAACTGTTTTGCAACAATAGGGTGCGTAGCAAGTGTTACCCAGGCAGCCGCCTGGTGCCACAGCCAGCCGCCAGAACTGGCACCAACGCCGCGGCTGAGCTACCGTAAGCGCGCTCTCCGTCCGCAACCTCTCGCAGAGAGGTTTTCGCAGCCGCCTCGCACCTCTCGCGCTGAGGTGCGAGAATTCCCTCAGAGGTCGAGCTACTGCCACATATTATATTAGGTTGGCTAGAAAGTTCTTGCGTAATTCAAACAAAATTCAATAACTTTTCAATGACTAAACCTAAATTCACAATTTTGTTCTCTAAAAATATTAGAAGGTCTGCGCTCCAAGATGGATGTTTAAGCGCAAGATTTCATGAGCTAGTCCCCGAGAACGAAGCTCTCAAATATGGGACTTCAAAATTTGCAATTTTGAGTTTGGTGCCAGAAAATCGCAGAGTGTCGCTAGCTAGCCGAAAAAAATCTGTAAAAATTACTTACACTGCAGAAGTCCATAAGTTACTTTGGAAGGCTTTGATCTTGCACGGTGAAGCAAAAACAAAAAATTCGTGAAATAGTCATTTTGCGGAAAAAATCCACTCATTACCGCAGTTTTTCGGCAAAAACTATTTTTTACACTCCAAAAAACGTCGCAAAGTTCTAAATAGGCAATATGTCTTATTTCTGGTTGCAAACTGTGTTTTTGTGGAAAAATTACGTCGATAAGGGGATTTATCCTGTAAAATGACAAATTCCACAAATTTTTTGTTTTCGCATTCCCATGCGAGTTTGAAGCCTGCTAAAATAACGTATGGGCTTTTGCAGTCTAAGTAATTTTTACAGATTTTTTTCTGCTAGCTAGCGGCACTCTGCGATTTTCTGGCACCATCAAAATTGCAAATTTTGAAGTCCCATATTTGAGAGCTTCGCTCTCGGGGACTAGCTCATGAAATCTTGCGCTTAAACATCCATCTTAAAGCGCAGACCTTCTAATATTTTTAGAGAAAAAGAATGTGAATTTAGGTTTAGTCATTGAAAAGTTATTGAATTTTGTTTGAATTACGCAAGAACTTTCTAGCCAACCTAATATATCGATCAACACAGCGGAAAATTTGTAGTTTATTAGTACTATACATTACAAAAAATTACACAAAAACAAAAAAAGTTAAATAAATAAATTGATGGAATGATTATAAAATTTTGAAAGCATAATATCGTGGAGTATGTTCAAAAAAAATATAAAATAGATTGTTGAATGGTTTTTTAGCACAATTCGTTGTGACCTTTGGGATAGAAGACTTCCAAACCAACTAGGTCAGATATTAGAAAAAGTGTGCCTCATATGCAAGTATATTGATTTCTTTTTCGAAATTTTCCTGAAATTATTTTCTAAGAAATTGCGCGGTTTGTCAGGGAGAAGAACACACCCTCCTTTCGAGCAGCTTCTCGAATGCTTACAGAGAATATCAGTTGTCGCGCTAGGCACTCTTTTCCATGTCTTGGAGGTGGGTCAAATTTTTGTTTGAAGTTTTTTAGTCCTATGCATTTGCAAAAAAAATTTCAGCATCCTCGGAGAGTGAAGCCGTTACGAAAGATATCATATCATAACCATCAGAAAGAGAATGAAATGCTGCATCGAATGCTTCTAAGATCTCTCAGAAACCTTTGTTTCTTCAAATGTGGCGCCCGTTTGAAAAAAGCGAAATTACTTTTGAAACGACCTAATATTTTAGAAAAAAATCCGAATAAACGAGTATTTTGCATCGATTATGTCGAATATTCAAACAAATTTTAAACGAATTAGCACAATGGAGGACTCCATGCAGTGGGCAACTTGGACAACAAACGATGGGTTGCTGATATAGCAGTCAAAATTGTGACGCTGTCATGTAGTTATTCGATTACACGAAATTGTCGAATAATCGAATAACTTCTGAAAATAAATAATCGAATGTTCGAATATTTTCGAAAATCAAAATTTTCGAATAACCAAATGATCAAATAACTTCGAAATTAACAAATTAACAATTTTGAATAAGCGAATATCGAATATATTAAAGGTTTTGAAATTTTCGAATAATCGAATTTCGAATAAAATTTATTCGAATACTTTTTCGAATACTCGAATATTTATTCGATTCGGTCCAAAGTATAGACAGACTATAGGGGCGCATGCCCGAGCTAAACTGCACTTTTGAGGACATATCCACGTGTTTTGCAGTGAAGACCTGGCGGAACTAACGGGGAACGGTCAGGAGTCACGGTCGGCGCGAATTTTTCGCGAAGCGGTGCCGCAAGCGATGTCAGCAAAACAGAAGCCAGCACTCCTGGCGCAGTCTTACTTATGACACGAGCCATGTATCTGCCCCCACCCCCCACCACCCTAGACTGGCGCCGTGCCACTTTAGCACCGGGCAGTTTTGTGGGGTACAAAATTTAGACGCGACGTTCGCGGCGAAGCGGCGTGACTCCTGACATGGAGCCGGAATTAACGGCATCCTTTGCGGTGCCGACACCTTGCGCTTTAACATGTCAGAACTAGCGGAGTGGCTCTAGCGCATATATTCAAGTTGATGCTCCATATGCATTTGTTCACGAGTAAGTGTTGAAGTCATCGCAGGCACTGTATGAAGTGTTGGGTCCACTAGCTCGTACGCTGATACGACTGCATCACTTCTCACCAACTGCCTCAGCTGGCAAGGAAGATGCACAGTAAAGACCATATCTACCTTGCTTCTCCGGGAACAGTGCGTGAAGTCAAAGATGGACGGGATCTTGCTAGCGTTCCATCGCTCACATTACTCCAGATCCAATTCAAAACATGCTAATTCTCTCGTTTTCGAAATTATAAAACTTGGCGATAGCGCAGTTATTGTGGATGGTTTTTGCACTCAAGGAGCACTCAAGAAGCAGCCGACTGCAGCGCCTTCGCTGCTCGTGGGTTTGTCCATACCTAAGCAGCGAGGTATATATCAAGCCTTAGACAGTACCCCAGATGTCTTTTGTTTCTGACACGCGTTCATACCTAAAGCTGTATCGAGGCGCAAATGGGCATCTCATATGAGTGAAATAAATCAATGTATCAAGCACACAATATGTGCTTTTCGAAATCAAAGTCTTCGGTAATGATTTCGCGCAAACCTGACTGAGAACAAGAGAGAGAGAGAGAGAGAGGAGTAAAACTTCTTTTATCAAGAACTATCTTGGTGCCTTTAACTAATAACTGCTTTATGACAATCGCTTTGTGAGTTAGTTTGTCCTCCTTGTCTACATGTTTTGAGTCAGTTTGTCCTCCTCAAAACATGTAGACTAAATTCTTTTTGTAAAAAAAAAGTCATAGAAGCAGTCTCGCACGCCTAATCAAGGAATCGCTGTCTAACACTATGCGAAGGTGTAGGGATGAATTTGTGGTGGGACTGTGGGCTGACAAAACACGTAGGTTTTTTCACAGCCGAAACATTGCAGTGCATGTTTCACAACTTGATGTTGCTACCGATAACTGCTTACAAACAACTGACCAAATATAAGTCAGGGACTGCTCTTTGATCCATCGATGCGCGTAGCTGTTCGTATCAAAATTCTTGTTAGCATGCCGCTAGACTTTGTATCATGTATGTAGTTTTTTGCTTTGATAACTCGCTAACATGACCAACCACTAGCCTACATTTCTTACTCCTTGAAAAGTGCAAACTGCACAATAGCGATAACTCATGAAGGACAGGTATGCCTTCAAAATCGTCCCGAATGAGACTTAATCCTCAGGTCAATGGGACTTTTACAATCGTTGCAATGCAAGTTCCAAACATCAGTCGAATACAAAACTTTCATAAAGTTAGCCAAAAAAAAATCATCGGTTTAGGAGCCAACATTGGCACCAGATAGAACAGTTAATAAAAGTTCTAAATTTGTACTGTGAGGGAAGCTAGACTCAGACCTCAGCACAACTTGCCTGGACTTGCGAAGAATAGATTTCATGGTATTGTTTCCCAACTCTCAAGCAGACAAACTTTGATAAATACATAAGGCGATGAACCGACCTAACACTACACAAAAAGAAGGAAACTTTAGAGTGCCTATGCTATTATAAGCTCTCAACTATGCTGAGAAATTACACGGAATTCCATCTCATATTAGAACAGAGACATTGTTAATGGACAACCTGAAAAACTGCTGAAGATACGTTTGTGAAAAGCCCAAGTTAACAATGTCTAGCGTGATCCAACAACGAGGATCTGTGCGCCTAGAAATTCGCATTGGTGCATGGGGCACACTTTGAGCAGCCATCTGTAGATTTAAGTACGTGCGTAATCGCAATAATTGTCTGAGTGCGCGACCTACATCGGATGCTTCATTCTGCTCCTGACTGGAACAAATGGGATCTTATGGCGTCTTGTACGGGCCCTGTGGCACACACGGGCAAGTATGTAGAAAGCAGCTCCAGGCCTGGATACTAATCGCACACTCCCGGCACGGCGCTAGAACTGTGCCAACATGTGGCGTACGCGCTGCAGCCGCGCGCAATCAGCATCATGTCGGGTTAAGTAAGAGTTTTTGTACATCTTCAGCGCTGCTTCTCTATAAAGTTTGCAGAACTTTTAGTTTCTGTCTTATTTTTGATTCCGCCTCTCCTTGCTATAGATAGAGCAACGAAGATGGAGGCAGAATCAGGCATGAAAGTATTCTCATTTGTGTTCCTTGGACCTATTGTATTGTTAGTAATTCGGTCATAAATCGTTCATCTTTCTTTTTTCTTGTCCAGTTTACTTCTTTTATTACTTCAGGGGACAAGCACCTACGGTCAACCCAGCTGCCCAAATAGGTTCTTTTTTTCTTTCATCTGTGCAGTATCGGCTCAGTCTAGGATTTTGTTGCGAAATCCCACCTGGGATTTGAAAGAAGCGGTGGTTCTATATTATAGGTATTTAGTAGCAGGGAGTAGTAGTTCTCCTTTTCTGAAATGGGTATTTATCCGTCTGCGGTGGCATTTCGTTTAGGGGACGGGGTAGAAGACATTGTGTCGCCGAAAGGTGAATCCTCGCGCGGATATTTGGAACAAACCATGCCCCTCTATACATTATTCAGCCATTCCGCGGATGGAGCTTTTCGGCGGCGTAGCAGCCTCTGTCCCAAAAGGTGTTTTATCGCTGACGTTCTGCCTCTGTGGAAAGCGATGGGAGAGGGGGGGGGGTGGTCTGCGCAGATGCATGGTATGTAGCAGATGTCCGCGCGAGCGGAACCCATTTGCGAACCCTCTGATTCGACTGGATTGGCGGCTGGGAAGCGAGGCTTCGTGACCTGATTAAGGCTAGAAAATGATAAGAGAGCATGTTCGCGAGGGAGACGCAGAATGCGTCGCGAACTCGAGCGTCGCCTTCCAGCCGCAATTCTCGTTGAATTAAAGGGTAAGCCTTCCTTCTGGCGTTCTTTTTACGTGTGGCCAGTTTTTTGCTCATTCCTGCCTTCGATCAAGACTGTGACAACAGGGGGCGCAGAGACTGAGAAGTTTGTGAAGAAGCGACGTTCAGTATGTCCGAGAACTTTCTCGACGCTCGTTGCCCGCAGCTGCAATGCTTATGGCTCATTTTTTGTCTATCTTTCCACATGCAGTCTCTATACTTCTCGCTAATTTCTTCCCCTCTTGGACATAGGGTTGGGACGCAAGAGTGAGAAAGTATAGTCGATTTGTTGACTACACGGCACGGACTGGACATCACTGCGGAGCACGCGCCGCGAGAAACGCTTACCCCAATACAAATTCGCCGTTGTATATACAAGTCGTGCTTTTGCAACATTTCATCCAAGCCGCGCGTGATCCGCAGCTTTTGAGCAGTCCGTGCGGTCGAATCGACGATACAACATCTTTGAACTCATTCGAGACCGACTTCCCAAAGGCTCGATGCCGCCTGCGCGCTGCAATGTGTGTGGCACACTTCCTGCTGTTTCAGCGCAGTGCCGAAATTGTGCGTGCTTTTAGAACTCAGTATGAACCGAGGGGTAGGGGACATCAGGTCGTTGAGGAGGAGGTCTCGCGAGGACACCTGCAACAAAGCCAGCTGTCCGCGCGGGTGGAGCCTATAGTCGAACTACTGTCCTCCACCCTGAACCGAACATTACGTTTTTGCGATTCTTTTGACTGTTGTGAAGGGCGCTCATGTTGCGTTGAAACAAATTTCTCAAATGCTGGTAATGCCTCGACGTATTTTGGGGTAGAGGAACGAACACCTCAATTGGACCACGCCTCCGCGGGCTGCTGGTCCTTTCGTCCTACTGTTGTGCATCCTGTTAGGACCAGTAGTCCGCGGAGAGGGTGCCTAATTGAGGTGTTCGTTCCTCTACCTCGTATTTTGCTCTGCAGCAGCATTTTACGGTGTCGGAAGCACGACGTCATGCAGTGGACTTCGAAATATCACTAGAAGCAAATCATATTACAAATTTACATGGACTTTTGCAGAGATGGGTCATCGAGGTGGAGGGCGAAGGCAACAAGCACGAGCGATAATCAACAGAAACCCTGGGTAAGAACAGTACTATGTCTTTTGTTTTAATACTGATAGTGAGACTGGCATGTGTGTATGATGCATCCTGTATGTGGGCGAAATTATCTGCATAGATGCTTGTTTATACTCATGCCCATACAGTAGTCCTCATTTTATTGCCCTGTTTACTTACTTGCCTTTTATATGCGCAATAAGAATGAGGTTGTTTTTTCTTGCTTTTTGCAATCGTCTTCGTGTTACTTCTTACCCTGGTTCTATAGTGTTTTCTCTATGATAGCGATTCCAACCACCGTTTTACTGCAGATCGTAGAAGTGGTGCAGCTATGCAAAGCGGGTGCTTGCATGAGGACAGCTGTAACTCGGCATGTTTTTGAAAATGCTAACAACTAGCAATTTTTTTCTGAGCCTGCTCATCAGATTTACCGTCATATTTCGCCCGAAAGTGCCAGAACGCTTGCATTCGTGAGCGCAATTCTTCACCCTGGACCTAAGTTTATAGAGTAGTTCAACAGTAAATTAAGTACATTTCGATAAAATAAACTGGCGCTTTCTCAGAACTCGAAAATGAAGAATTTGATGATGACGTCAGATGCACTTCACGTCATGTTCACATTTTCGCAGCAAATCCAAAACTGTCCGGTCGCAAATTTTCATGTTAGAATAACAACCATTATGCGCAACAATCATCAAAGCACGTCGTGCATGTAATATTGTAATATTCTCTCAACTTTCACCGGGATAGCCTGGTATTTCAAGTTAGTTAAGGAGAATCGGATATAATTGTGAATTGCTTCAGTCACATTATGAGTTTATACTGATCCGTAAGTTCCGAAACCAGGCAAAGCGCTCGAATTGTGCAGGAACTGTTCCCGAACTTACGGATCAGTGTGAGCCCAACCTCAGGAATGCAAGAATGTTGTGGTGAAACTTGAGCTGACATCGACATTAACACGCAAGTGTGATAATTTATTTATGATTTTGAACAATGTTTTGCAAACCACATTCCAAAGCCAAAAGTTGCCAAAGTGAAAGCGACGTCCCTCCGCTTTTCGGTACTTTTGGGCGAAGTATGACAGGTCCCTAACTGCTTCACTTAATTTTCGACAACTCATTAAGGAGATATAACTCATTCCCATATCAACCGTTGTAAATGCATAGAATTCATTTTCATTTCTAGGATGCAATCACAACCACCGGTATCGAACCGAATGCGTATCCGAAGCTTTCCGGTAATATATCTGCACCATTGATATGTTTTTTGCCAAGTATAAATATGAGAGTTTCATGCCGCAATGGACGAAAAGTATGTGGAACAAGTGTGGGAAATGCTGAAAAAGGCCATACAAGAAATACAACACAAAAACAACTCCGGTCTCAGCTTCGAGGAGCTTTACAGAAACGCCTACACAATGGTAATGATCTTAAAGGAGGTCGGCTCATTACGCAGATTGCAGTACACGCTCTATCAGTAGCATCTTGCAAACCACGGCGTGTACCACAAGAGGCGATTTTTTCTATTTACAAAACTCTATGTTCGTATCTGATTGTATGCTCAGTTTTTGACGTATTAACCTCTTGTAGGTGTTGCACAAGTTTGGGCAAAAATTATACATGGGACTGAAGCAAGTCGTCGAGGAACATCTCACCAATCATGTAAGTAATTAACGCAATCAGTGCCGAAATTACTAGAACTTCTGAAGAGCGCCCATGCGCACGCTGCGTATGTACAGGGCTTTTCAACCTGAGAGTCGCAAGTTTCGCTTGCGCGGCTCCTCCAACGCGGCCGCCTCGCTCAGGCCGCGCGCGGCGTTTGCTGCGTATCGCCCGGATTTCGCCAAGCTTCAGTCGATGCGCAGCCAGCGCCACGAACGCTGCGCGGACCTAAGCGTGGCGTCCTAGCGGGGCGGGTGGGACACTCAGGTTGTAAAGCCCTGTATATGGGTTGTATCACTCGGGATCGATCCCGCGTGGGCATGCCTTGCGAGGGCGGATTGTGCATGCGATGTGCTTTGAAGGCACCGTCCACCCAATTTGAGGGTGATGAGATTATGAAGCTATACCACAGCGAGGCCCCTGACTAAGGAATCGCCGATCTCGCTGCAAAAGACAAATTCCGAAGCGAGAAAACCACTCCAGATGGTAAAGCTGCCACATTGGCTCCGCCTATCAACGGGTGTGGTCAAGATAACAACTTCGGGCTTCATGTATCTAGTACTTTCATAAATCCGCCTTTCATTGTGATAATTAGATTTGCGCCGAAGCCCACTTTTGGAGTTTTTATCTTCAGAGACCAGTTGACGGGCGGAGCCGACGTGGCAGCTTTACCTTCTAAAGCAGTTTTCTCGCTGCAGAATTTATCATTTTCAGCGAGACTTGAGCAGTTTTAGTTAGGGGCCGCTGTGCTATACAGCATCAAAATCCCGTCACCTCAGTTTGGGTGGACGCTTTGACGCATAGCACTGTTCGCACGCGTCACATCGCACCATCGCGAATCGCCGCATACGCGGCGTGGAATAACCGATGCCGTCTTATACAGACAGTAGTTTGGAAACTCTTCTCTAACGAAGGCGCCGGATTTGATGTTCGAAGAGCTCCGGCGGGAGTGTTCGAGCATTTTTCATCATTGGCTGATTAGTTCCATTAGATTTTCCGGCGGATATAATGTGCTGCGATGCCGAGATTCTGCGGTAAACTTTGCGCGTGAGCAAATAACTACGCCAGTAGTGCCGGCATAATGGCCCGCGCAGTTTTACCTCAGAATCTCGGCACCGAAGATACACTATAATAAGCAGAAAATCTCTTAGACTCTGCGGTTGTCTTTGTGCAAGTTTGAGCGAGTTGACACACGTGGAGACTGGGCCGCCGTTGGCAACGACTCGTTGCATTCACCAGGACAGTGCGTGTTTGAGGCAGCAGACAGTAGGATAGGAAAAAGAGCTTTCGATTCGAAAGGCGCCTTGTCTCTGCGTACGATGATTCGCCTACTTGTAGCATGTGAGACAGTCGAAGGGTGTGATTTCTGCGACTGTCACGAGCCCAAAACACCTCTCAATGCTATACGAGTCTTCAAGAAGTGCAAGACAGTGGTTTGGCTTACAAGGAAACGATACTCGGTGTCCGTGGTTTGAGATGATATGTATACCATAACACTCGTCTTGGAACACCGATTCCGAATCTGACTTCTGTTTCTGCTAATCGCTTCTAAAATGTTATAATGGATCGCGCGGATTCTGGCTGTCCCGTGAAGTAGGGTCGTCGCGCAGGCGATACCGGTGCACTGTGGTTTAGCTGTTAGTGCGATAGTCATGAGTTGATGCAGTTGCAGGTTCGAATCCTTTTGTGTTTTGCAGTTTTGCATTGCCTCAATTAACCTTCTTTCGCATCATCGAGCTACGTGAACGCCCTTACTCTTCAAAAAATGTGAAAATTTGGAAAAAATGATTACTATTTGCGCTAAATTGTATCCAATGATTATAGTTCAAGTAAATTTTCTCGAACAAGCTTAATTGAGGTAATGCAAAAGTAAAAACACAAAGGATTTGAACCTACACCTGCATCAACTTAAAAGGCTATCGCACTAACCATTAGACCAGAAAGTGGCCGCGGTAGAAGCCGTTCCAATGACCGTATTTCCCTTGAGCAGCCAAACTTGGCTCGGAATTCCCGACTTCCGGTATCGGGACGGCATGACAACTGCCGTTTTTCGATTAGAGCGCGATATCTACCGTCCGGCACTTGTCGTGCCGTCCCGTGACGATATCCGGTAACGGGACGGCATGACAAGTGCCGGATTAGGGGGGAGGGGAGCGCATCTTGAATGTGTTATTTATGAAATAGTGTTAAGCTTTATTTTCAACTCCAATGTGTTACTGAGTTTTCCGAAGTTTCAAAGTCATGAGTTCTTTGAAGACCCAATTTCTCAAAAGACGTTGCCGTGCCTTCCGTTTAAACTTGGCTCATTCTTAAAATCTAGAACTGCCGTAATGTTCATAACGTGACTAAAACTTCATCAGAAATTGTTTACACAAGTTACTCTTCGTTATCCGTCCTCAATTTGTTGCTCTTACAATCTGTGAAAAAAAAATGATCTGTTTGTCGCATTCGAGTAAAAACTCGGATTGTTTTTGAAATCTTACTTTTCTTGTATCCTTACTTATGTAATCTCTGAAGTGTTAACTGTCGAACCTATACCAGTTCACATACAGTAGCACCAAAAATCACATTCGACGGTGATGCTCACATCAAATCCTTTTTGCTTACTGCAAGGTAGAGCGTAAGAAAAGAGTAATCAAAGGTCTCTTTTTTAATGTGAACTAGTAAAATTAGAAGACTTAATGGCGCTATTCCAGAATACACAATCCAAAAATCAAAAATCTCGGATTTTGCCAAACTTTGCATACAGGGGTTATTTGACATGCTGATCACGAAAATCGTACTCATTTTGCATGAAAGGATCATTTTTGTGGGGTTACGGTAGGTATACGGCAAGGGGTCAAAATCACGGATTCGCCTGAATTTTGGTTTAGAGGGGTTATTCGACCCGCTGATCACTAAAATGATATTTATTTTGCATGGTGGGGCCATTTTCGAGGGGTTACGGTAGCTATACGGTATAGGGCCAAAACCCAGAATTCGCTGAAACCTTGCATAGGGGGGGGGGGGGGTTGTTGGACGTCCTGATCACGAAAATGATGGTATTTTTGCAGATAGGGGTTTCGCAAGAACATAATGCTTTCCGTGCAGCAGCGCCGCGTGCGACACACTCTGCGTCGGCTTGCCTAAGCAAAACAGGAGGGGGAAAGATTGGAGACCCTGACCCTCGTACCATAATCCTACCGTAACACTTTTTTTTCAGGGTCCTTGAGTTTAGTAGCAATGAAATGAGTACAGTGCTCGTTTGGCGAGTACTCTCAGTAATTTATAGCACTGTTTTTGTAAATTTTATTTTCCTTGGAAAAAGACTTCACCGTGTGTCGAGAAAAAAGAAGGATTTTTGAGTGTTCATTTGCAGAGATGATAAATGTAGACAGTTTCTCTCACATGACAGAAGTCTGGTACAATGTACATACCACCATTGGAATCTACTTGTTCTCACCAAGTAAAAGGGTGCAATTGCACAAGAAATCTTGCCATATATTCAAACTGGCTATAGACTTGAATGATGTGATGAATTTGAAAGCAGTGTCAGTGCAAATCTGAGTTCTGTCTAATTTTCTCTTTTGGGTACTTGTTTGGGCTACCCAAGGAGCAGTTCATTCAGTCAAATTGCGACTAAGACTACAATAAATCTTTACCCAGACCGTATTTTCTACCGTACTAGAGGCCGCTAACTGGTCTCTCGGAAAGGGTGCGTTAGTGGAAGAATGATTCGAATCTGAAGACTATTCATTGATTGCTCTAACCGCATACGATCATTATTCTTCAAATAACTAAACTCTAGGGAGATTATGGACTACCAGAGCTTTCAATAAGTTACCCAACGCTTCATGTTGGAAAGAAGTAGGGTAAACGCTGACATCTTCCAAAATCAGGTTCAATTCAGTATAGAGAATGCTGTTCAACCAGTCCCCAAATCTTCTGTTTACAACCCTTTTGTAGTGAGGATAAACTCGGCGAGACTTTGAACCACTAAACATAACATACACTCAAAACGTATTATTTCAATTACAATACGATGATTACAATAATAATTCGAAACAATATAACTCAAGTGATTGAATGAAGAACATGAGACTACATCTTCAAAGCGGTCTTCAACGAATCCTTGCAATACCCTCGGAAAGGGCCCCAAATCACATGCGCAACGAAATCTCCAAGTTAGGGGGAACAGGCGTTAAGTAGATTAATAGGTTAAGTAGATTAAGACAGATAAAGAGCCGGTTAAGTAGATCTAGATGGCGCTATGAAAAAGTAGAATTGCAGCTCCGTTAAAGGACGCAGCAGAATTGGTAGATATCGCGCTCTAATCGAAAAACGGCAGTTGTCATGCCGTCCCGATACCGGAAGTCGGAATTCCCCCATAACTTCTTTCAGAGAAACGATTAGCAGAAACGGAAGGCAGATTCGGAATTAGCGTTCGAAGAAGGGTGTAATAGTATGAATCACGTTTCGAAAAGCCACGGACATTGAGTACCGTTCCCTTGTTAGTGGTTGTTCCAGCTCAGGGTTGTTTCAGACTGCCGCACTGACTGCAGCAGACTGCAGCAGACTGCATGACCGCGGTGACTTCAAGGGCCGCACAGATCGCTGTATTCTTCCGTAAATATGGGGAGGATAAATAGTTGTAGCCCAAACAATCAACAACAATACATGCCTAGATCCAAAAGACAACATGAACGAAAGTAAAACAGGTATATGCAATAAAGGGAGAATCAGAACAAATATAAGCATACCAATGATAAACAATCGCCGAAATATGATTGAAAAGAGTAAGTTAGAACCTTTGAAATTCCTAGGCGTAAATCACGGTGTTTCGACATAATCGCAATTGTTTTCTCTTTTACGAAAGCATGCAGCGTCTGTGCGGCCGTTGCGGTCAGCTGCAGTCAGCAGCAGTCTGCAGCGGTCAGTGCAGTCAGCTGGAGACTGCTGCAGTCAGTGCGGCAGTATGAAGCAACCCTCACCATTTGTTGATTTTGACTGCTTTTGCTGAAATCCGACCAAAATATCGACACAAATGTCATTTATTCACGACCTTCATTACTCATGTTTCAAATCTGTTTCGCGACATTATGATTGAGCAGCCTATGCAACTATCATATATCTGCTGAGGTTGATGAAATGGCTCTAGGACATCGTAAATCACCAATATGCTCTAATCACTGTGCAGCTCGCAATACAATTTGCACCGTTGACATCCCCGTATGTACAGAGTTTATCAGTTGCAGAGTCGGGTGCAACAGCATCTGCGCTCCCGCGTGGCCGCTTCGCCTGGACTCCTGCACCTTTTTCGCGGACATGCTCTCTTATCACTTTTCCACCAGGACCCGGCACGAGTCGGTTACTAGGGTTCCTGAAAACGAAGTCCCCCTGACTTTAGAATTGAAGGCCGTCCGGGTAAAATTTCGAATGGAATTCTTTCGTTTACCTGAGCTTATTCCTCTCGCTGATTCTGAAATTGCAGCTTAGAGGGCACGAAAACGTCGAAAACGGGCTTTTCCAGAAGCTCTTGATTTGAATTTTGTCGCCTGCAGCCAAGGTTGAGACGCAGAGTCTTTGTGGGACCCTACGTCTCGACTGTGTGCGGTGTGCGCACTCTGGCTTGTCGAATCAATTCGTTCCGGTCATCAGGGCGTTCCGGTCATCACTTCTGAAGCGAATTTCTCGCTTCAGAAGCAATGGTGCATTGCCATGGGCAAGAGCTTACCACGGGCGCCCCTGTACTTCACATTTTCGTATCTGCCCGGATGCTGACTTTAAACGAAGTCACTTTTAACCCTTATCGGAAACGTATACTTAGGACAAGATGAAAACAAAATAAGTCACTAGTCTGACAAGAAAAATGTGGAATAGTAGTGAAAACTCAAAGTGGAGCTGTATACTGCGCTTGCGCAAGAGTTTGATGTTGGAGCGCGATATCTAGCAAAGCTATTTTTGTGAAGAAATTGAGGCAAAAAACAAAGAAAAGGCAACATTATGAAAATGTCATTATGCTAAGGGACACTTCTGGGGAATCCGTCCATGATAGAAATTCCAAAACTTTGTTCTGATTTGATCTGAACTTATGTTTTGATCTCATATCATATGTTGGCCGTCTGGAAACGGCCTGAATCTGGGTTTTGATCTCATATCATATGTTGGCCGTCTGGAAACGGCCTGAATCTGGAAGAGGTATCTTCAAATAAATGTCAGAATTTTTTACATAATTGTTCCGTGAATAATATTCTATGATTAAGTTTAAATTTGGTGTCATACGCTTGTCTTTAGGCTGTAAACAAACTGTCAATTTTAGCTTTACTTTCAAACCGCGGACGCTTTTCACAATTCACGATGGAGAATGTCCATCCTGTCTTCAAAGCTTGTGCTCAGTAGTCGCTTTTAGTATTACAGGAAGTGCATTGAATTGTCTTGCACACATATGTATGTGCAATCTTCCTTCACATACTTCGCTTGTAATGCAACACGATTTTTCCGGGGTTCCGCCCCGGACTCCGCAAAAACGACGTCCTCTTTGCTTTTTATCTCAGATACGAAGTCCAGCCTGCTTTTATTCCATCTGTGCCGGGCCTCGTTCCCCACCACGAGCATGGGAAAGGCGGAGCTCCAATCGCTATTTAAAGGCAGTGTCCGGGCAAGATGGGGGTTTTGGGATTTCAGTACCATGCGAGAGTGGCCCCGCTCAGATACAACATCGCGCAAGTGCGGCGGCGTGGCGTTATACTACAAAGACCTCGCCGCCAAAGCTCGCCGCCATAGTCGGGGCACGCGCGCCGAACTGGCTTACTGTATCCCGCACTCATTTTGCACCGGTGCGCCTGAGCCATGAGGCAATCGCGCGAATGCAGCCTCGTCAGCTTTGTCGCGGTGGACGTCGCGCGCGATGCCGCGAATTTTACAAAAAGTGACATAAAAATATTCAGAAAAAAATTCTTCTTTCGGATTTTAACGTGTGATATCGTCCATCGCAGCGGATAAAGTGAAAATTTCAGAAGAACTTGTCAATTTCCTGTTTTTTTTTATTCATATTCATTTGAAAAATCGAGGAAAGAAAATCTGGCATCAGCTATCTACTTTTGTCCTAATAAGTTAAGTCCGCAGGTCATCATCGCCGTTTTACTAACCTCAACTTGCAATTTAGGCCACAGGTCACAGCTTGCAGTGACAAGTAAGTATCTATAACATGCCAAAAACAAACATGAAAAACAAAGAAACGAAGAAACACTAGGGAGTTTCGAAACGAATCTTCTGTCTTTATTTGTAAATATAAACGAACATGAATCAAATAATTAACAGGAAATTAACAAGTTTTTCTGGAATTTTCACTTTATGCGGTGCGATGGACGATATCGCACGTTAAAATCTGAAAGAAGAATTTTTTCCGAGTATTTTTATGTCATTTTTGTAAAATTCGCGACATCGCGCGCGACGTCGCGCGCGACAAAGCTGACGAGGCTGCATTCGCGCGATTGTCTCATGGCTCAGGCGCACCGGTGCAAAATGGGTGCGGGATACAGTAAGCCAGCTCGGCGCGCGTGCCGACCATGGCGGCAAGCTTTGGCGGCAAGATCTTTGTAGTATAACGCACGTCCTCCCGCAAGTGCGACGTCATAACGCTCGACCTAAAGCAAGAAAACGACCGGAAAGTGGGGAAACTTACGCCTTGGGGAGGGGTTCTCCGAGCTGTCTGAATTCCTGCTAAGCGGCAGAGTACGCATGCCGCCACAGTCAAAATGTAGGGTCCTACAGCGATTCTGCGTCTCTGCCTTGGTGGGGACCGTCGAATTTCAAATTGTGCCGCTTTGGAAAACGTATGTTCTCGGTTCTCGCGCCTTCTAATGTGGATTTCCGGATTCAGCGCTGCGGATAACCCCCGGTAAGTGGATTTTCTAGAAATCGAGTTTTTGCCCGGACACTGCCTTTAAGCGTGCGAAAATGATTAGAGAGCATGTTTGCGAAAAAGGTGCAGGGTTCCAAGCGAGCCGCGCGGGAGTGGAGATGCGAGTGCACCGGACTCTGCAGTTGATAAGTCCTGGACACAGCAGTGTCGGTTGAAGGGGGGAAGGGGGGAAGCGACAGAAATCTTTCTGGATGAGTGTGCGTGGCAATAGTTCCCCTCCCTGCCCCTTTCACTCTTTCTGTTACTGTTACTAAGGGCCGCATGCACTAACATCCCCGCTAGGGAGGGGATCGCAGCTTAAAAGAAAGCCTCACATCCTGGAAGCTCCGAACTTCTTTCACGCTGTCTACCTATCCGCTAATATTCCTACCATCCTTCACTATGAACATATTGAACACGAGCGAGAAGCTGTACAATCCGCATTCCAGCTTTTTGTATGATTCCCTGATGATCCCCGGCGACCGGCCGTCTTTTATTTGTAACTTTCATTGTTCTCAACTCATTTTTCTTTCTTCAAAGCTAACGAAAAGCTTCCAAAGTTGTATAGATTATCTATCCAGCAGTGTTAAGCATGTTGCTGATAAGAACAGATGTTGTATTTGAGTGAGGTTTGCTATGAACCACAAGTCGAAAGTTGGGGTTTATCGGAAATCGATTTTCCAAAAACTCATCTGCTCTTACCGGCAGCATGCTCAACACTGCTGGATTAGATAATCTGTACAACTGTGGAGGCTTTTTGCTAGCTTTGAAAAGAGAAAAATGATTTCAGAGAAAACGTCCGGCCGTCGTGAATCATCAGGGGACCATACAAAAAGCTGGAAAATGCGGCTTGTACAGCTTCTCGCCCGTGTCCTTAGTGAAGGACGGTAGGAATGCTTATGGATGGATAGAACAGCGTGAAATCCAGAGGTTCGGAGCTGCAGGATATGAAGCTTTCTGTTACGCTGCGATCCCCTTCCCGGCGGGGATGTTAATGCATGCCGCCCTTAGTCACAATATGACGGTTGGATGTATCGATATGTCTGCAGATTTCTGATGCTATCTGGAGGCTAATTTTTGACGAAGGCAGTCGATATCCAATGGAAACGGGGTGCGAGCGCCGCGTTAGTGTTTCCATCATTGGAGCGCATACGCCCGCGCATGCCTCGCTTACGGGGCGGGCGTTAGGTACCCAGCCGAGGTGCAAAGATTCTGCACCTGTCAGTTAGTGGTCTACCCCCATGCCCCTTACTCGTTTTAACAGCGGGTACCTGACGATACAACACCTGTTCTAAATAGAACAGTTCACTCTAGCTTGTTCAAATTCTTCGACCCACAAACTCGACAAAAAACGCAGTCTTCTACAGTTATGTCGCTACAAAAATTCGAGAAACTCGCAACGAAAATCCGAAAATGAAATACAGGGCATTCAAAAATCGTGGCGATGGCACGACCGCGCGCAACACGCACGCGCCTACCGGGAACCGCAGCTTGGTTTCTATTCCTACTTCAATGGCTTTTCTGCTTGAGTATGATAGTATCCAGACACTGGAAGCGACTGAGCTGAGCGTTGAGGTGATGCCTTTTTGTGTTGTATGCTCCTGTGCGCAGAGACCGCAGTCAAAGGCAGTGTCCCGGCAGATTCGCGCCCTGGGAGATATTGCTGTGGTGGGGTTCCTGGACATCCCACTGACCTCCAGGCGCAGTCCGGCTGGATGATGTTCCCCATGGGCCGAGAAAATAGCCCTTGAACCGGCTCGCGCTCGGCCGATTTTGGCTTACCGTTCGGCGCGGGACCCCACAACCGCTTCCTCGCATTTTGCACGCTATCCAAAGCAAAAATTACAGGCAGCAGGGTCTTCGTGCCAGGGCCTCCCAACACTTTCCATTGAAATTCTCCTCGTCCGAGCCGACTTTTGGAAATTGGTTGAACTCCCCGAAGGTCTTTTTACCCGTTTCATAGCTCATATTCGGGGTCTGCGGGTCGATAATGTCCAAAACATGCAAAATTGAAATGCAAAATCTGCCGGGACACTGCCTTCAAATCCGTCGTCACGATTTTAAAATGGCCTATATGTTCAATTAGAAACAGCTCTAAGAACCTTCAAGAACAAATATTACTTTTTTTGTAAAATGCTAGGATTGTGACTGTATGATAGAAAAGGTAACGTCAGCTAAAAAGTTCCAGAAAATGTATAACTTTGTAGAGTTCTGATGAAGTAGAATTTTTGTGATCATGATGGTGTAAAGATCACATTTGCGGAACTGTTCTTGATTTATCGCAGTTGCACAGAATAGTTCCGTTTCTCAAGGAACCTGCCTTCAATACATTGTTGACCATGAGACGGGGAAAGCAATTATGAAAAGAGTCTCCAGGCACCAAAACTTTGTGGAAGAGTATGTAGCGATAGGAAGGTCGTTTGACTGTGATGCGCTGATTAAAAACACTTTGTACCAAAGCAGTTAGTCCTGACCTTAAATTCTCTGCTACGTGTTTGCGATCTGTAGGGAAAAAAACGAAACAAGAAAATTTCACTTTCATTGATCGCTGTCAAAATCCCTAGTTGCTAAAGCGTTGAAAGTGAGAAGACTATTATGAGAACTTCTGTGCCGACAATTTCGGCACCCTTTTTTGCCGTATCACTTTACTCATTGCTAAGTACCGTACAGGTTATGCCATAAGCATGACCTGCTGTGATATGAGTATCTCTGTAGCCCAGATGCATGCATACTATTTTGTCACGCCCATCATATGCAGCATTCTACCACTGCACGAATGGGTGCATGTCGTCTGTTCAATAAAGCTCTAATAGCTTTCGTGTTCTAATAACCCACCAGGAGCCACCATACTCCACTACAGGCGCCACTCATTCGCCTAAGGCTACAGTAAAGCCTAACAACCACCACATGCTAGTCAACTGTTCATAAAGCTCTACAGCTAATGTGTTCTGTATAACACACATCAAGGGGCGCTATTACGCCTCAGGCTACTATAAAGCCTACCAACCATCACATTTATGGTGCATCGGCCAAACACGAAGGCCGACACAGTGCTTCGCTCTAATAGCAGCACGAAAAGGATCACCATACAATGATGCTGATTCCTCGCCACTACGTAGAAGAAATTATATGGAACACCAAAGAACTCACGAAAGTACTGCAAGAGTACGCATGCCAAGGTGAGAAAACCGCACTTCCAGAGGATGACGAACTGCGACGAAAATTTTGCGCCTACAATCCGCGTGTATCGACAAGGATTACCAAGGAAGTCGAAGCAATTCACAGTCACTACAAACGGAAATCGATCTACTGGAGCAGCTGTATTTGAAACAAACGAAAATGATGAGGAAAATTATGGTAAAGAAGCTTGATGCGCTTGAAAAAAAACAGGTACTTTCAAGCTATGTTCAATGCCGAAATGTTCGTTAACACGCTGCATGCTCGAGTACTGGAATGCGAGATAGAACTATCTAGACTGGAACGCAGAAAAATGTTCAATTCATTGCGGAAAAACAGTAGAGCCGAGCATACTTCTTCAAAATCAGCAAACAAAGGAGATACTCATATTGTGACCTCACACACTAGGAGAATTATTGTTGTAGACAGCCCACCATCAGCTGTCGATAAACTACAGGGTAGAAGATATTCATCAAAAGCACTAACCCAGTGGGTTCCGGAACCCACTGGGTTCATTGATGAATACGGCCACTGCTGTGATATGAGTACCTCTGTAGCCCAGATGCATGTGTACTATTTTGTCACGCCCATCATATGCAGCATTCTACCACTGCACGAATGGGTGCATATCGTCTGTTCAATAAAGCTTTAATAGCTAACGTGTTCTAATAACACATCAGGAGCCATCATACTCCACTACAGGCACCACTCATTCGCCTAAGGCTACAATAAAGCCTACCCCCATCACAACTTCCTAACGTGATTTAGTTATTTTGGTAGCAGATACTGAACAGTTTGAAAAAATCGCGCCTATTATGCTTAATTCCACCCGCTGATGAAGTCTTTTGGTCAGTCAAACTAACAATTGAAAAAGCCAAAAATTTCAAGCGCTGCTCGCCTAATTTGAGAAAATCCTCATCATCTTTCTTGCTCTACTCACTTCAAAAATTGTAGATCGCATGTGTCAGCGTTAATTGAAGGCAGCGTTCAACCAAATGCTCCCCACACCGATTAGCAAGTAGTTGTCAAGCGGGCTCCAGTGGCCGTATTCATCAACGAATCCAGTGCGTTCTGCTACCCAGTGGGTAAGCGAAAGTAGTCCCGCTGAGTTGGATCAATATCCACTAAAAGCATTACTGGGTTCGTCGATGAATACGGCCACAGGAGCACCCGATCTGCGTTAGTCCGATTTTGACGTGGCCTCTAGAACGAAAATACATGCCTGTGATTCGTATCACAAACCGCCTCTGGTGTCACGATCCTCCCCTTGAGGACGAGTGCTCGCGCAAGTGGTGCAACTGCACCCGTGCAGTTGCACTGGGCGGACATGGATGAGGTGGGCGGTGCCGTCTGGGGGTCTTCTTGCATCTACGTTATTCCGGAGCGATTCTTCCACTTCCGAAGCGATATTTTGCGCCGCGACTTGGGCATTGGCTTGATAGGGAACCTACATAAGGTGCTAAAAGCTCAAGACCCTCAACTTAGGCGGACGGTGCCTTTAGAGGCACCATCTAACCAAGTTCTCGATTTCCATGTTTCTGTCGCCCCGAGGCCTTCTCATGTCCCTGATAAAGAATATCAAACGATAAGCCCGACAATACCCGTTCCGGAGAACCTTCAGGCTGGCTTTCCGGAACGGTGATTGGATGGGCGGGCATTACTGGAGGGCTTGCATCTTCGCTATTCCGAAGCGATTTTTACGCTTCCGAAGCGACATTTTGCGCCACAGCTTGGCTATTGGCTTGATAGGGGATCTACTACCATAGACTACCGTTAGCCCAAGACTCCTATGTAAACTAGGATGGACGGTGCTTTTGAGCTAGAGTGAGCTGTTCTAGCAGTTGAAATAGGTGTTACGTCAGGTACCCGCTGCTAAAGCGAGTAAGGGGCGTGTCCTAGCGTATACCACCAATGCGCAGGTGCAGAGTCTTCGCAGACATTCGTAGTTAAGTCTCGCAAGAGTCCGCTCACAAAATGAAAATCGCAAAAAATCGTAGTCTTTCTCAAAGCTCGATTGTGTCCCGAACTTAGGACCAGGTATATGTCACGCGATTTCATCGTCCCGGCTCTACGGTCGGGACAGATCGGGTTCCGAGCAAGACTACCTTTCTTCGCAATTTTCATTTTGTGAGCGGACTCTTGCGGAATTTGAAGACAGCGTTCAGGCAAATCTGGACATATGGGAATCTCAAGTGGAAAGTAATTTTGGGACCCTAACTAACTGCCCAACCGGCAGCTCAGGTGGTGCTCTAACGGTTGAGATATTCGTCTCCAAACTGGACCTCGGGATCGTATTTCGCATGGATTCATGGCAACCCATCAGTTTCGAGTGGGTCCTCGCGCGAAAGCATGCAAACACGATGCAAGTCGTCCGATAATGCGATCTTGGGGTCCAGTTGGGAGCCGTATATTTCAGCCGACAGTGAGTCATTTGCGCTGCCTAGTTAGGGCCCCAAAAACTTTCCACGTAAAATCCCTTTAGGTCCAGATTTGCCTGGAGCTGCCTTTAACCACGAATGTTTGAGTTCGCACTTCTGCTGGGTACCTAACGCCACGCATCCGCCTTGCTTACACGGGTGGCCGCTGGGGCTAGCCTTTATCACCCTTCCTTCTTCGCATGAGTTGAGATTCTTTAGCCGTCTTTTTTCACTGGATCATTTTAGGTTCGCCCTAAGATAGTCGAAGCTTTTGACTCCGGGAACTTTCTTGAAGTTATCAATGAGGCATGGAGTGACCACACAACAGCTATGGTACGTTTTGCGCTTCCCAATCCCGTGTCAGCGTCATTAGTTGTTTTTACTATCACTAATAAATGGGAGTTCTGTGTAGAAGAAATGGTTAGCTCATCAGTTTCCTCTTTTCTCATATTTTTTAAGAATCACGTCGAGGGACTAATTTCACCTCGAGTTTCAACTTTGCCATCATGGATAGGGTTCTCTTCCCCCTCCTTTATAAAAGCAGCTCCAGATCAGTGCTACGCTTCTATGCCGTTCATACACGTTGTACCATTCCCTCCATTTGTCATGCGGATCAATACTATAATACTTGATATATCAATACTTGCGTTTCATCATGGAGCATGTCACTACCGAAGCATTTACATCCAGTGTAGAGAGGAGATGTGGCACACAACACCTCCCTCCCCCCCCCCCCCAAGTCCTGTCTCAAATTTCCCTCCCTCAGCATTGCCGTTTGCTTACCGTAATCATAACACTGAGGCTCTATCAAGCTTAATCAATAACAAATGTAATTAGCATGTCAAATGACCCTGCGGGCCGCGTTTCAGCAAATCCCGATGGTTGCCAATATTGAATTACCCAGACTAAATAACATGTCCGGGCTCTCTTGTGTGTACGAGATTTGGGCTGTCGAGCTGTATGTACAGGATACCCAAAAAGATGTACCTACTGTTTGATTGTGAATATTTCTCTCGTAATGAAGTGTTTCTAGAAGCTTTAGGTACTAAATAGAGTTGGTTTTGTAGAGAGAGGTTAAACTCAAACTTACAATATGGAGCGAATCATCTATCGCTCTTCATTACTGTGATCACGGCACGAACTTCAACAAGGATTTTAGGCCGTTGGAGGCTATATCTTACTTGGGAACAAAACCAAACAAGCCAAAAACTCGTACTACGGTAATGGGAGGCGCTGATTTAGAATTTGAAATTCCCATTTCACTGTGATGCTTCTTTTCAAAGTTATCTCGGTAAATCGTAATGACTCAATTCTCAGCATTTGTCAGAAATGTAATTACACCGTCAAAAAAAAAGCTGAAAACATTCGTAAAATGTTGTTAGATAGAATCAGCATGCGCGAAAATTCTAGTACACAATTTTCCAGATTTTTTGAAAAAAAAGTTGTTAGGTGGTATATTTCACATTAATTCCATATGCAGGAAGTTCTTACCGTAATCCTACAGTAATGAAGAGCGATAGATGATTCGCTCCATATGTAAATCTAAGTTCAACCTCGCTCTACAAAACGGTACCTAAAGCTTCTCGAAACACTTCATTACAAGGGAGTTATTTACAATCAAACAGTATGCACATCTTTTTGGGACACCCTATATATTATATGCTACTAGCTTGCTTACCCGCCTCCGCTCGACCCTGTCAAAACATTGTAATAAAGGCAAATCCCTATCCCTGTACAGCCTTTCCCTGTGCCGACTTCTACACTTCATTTCCCGTCCCCTCTGTTGTTTTCGAAATCAGCATGCCCACTTACCACCCTGTGCCAATTCCCAGCCCTTCAGCTCAAATTTTGAAAAAATCGATAAAAGTAATAGGTAATACCAGAAACTAATATTGTTCGGAATCGCCATGCTCACTTATCCCCCTGTGCCAACTCCCAGCCCTGCAGCTTAAATTTTGCAAAAAAATCGATAAAATCGATATCGATCGATGAGGAAAAGTAGCCTTTGACACCCGCCCGGCCCCGTAGTGTATGTGTGCCAAGTTTGGTAAAAAAAATTTTTTGATTCTCTTAGGAGAGATATACTCGTTTTTTGTACCCTGTGTAAATGCAACATATTGGATTACGGTAGCATGCTAAGTCTGCGTTACTACCTGGATCGCGAGGGAAGACAGCAAGAATATGATTCAATAGTCTAAACAACTTTTCACTAGTTTTTTCAAGCGTTCACAATGTGCAATCACATTTATGGGAAACCTTGAGAAACATTTGTTACGGTGTACCTGGCATAACTCATGAAAAAACATTATAGTTGGGTGCAAATTTTATATTCAAACTCAGTGACTCTAGAAAGCCTAATGTTAGAGTTTTCGTTTATTTTGTTTCCCTTTTCTAAGGCAAAATATGCCTCTCATTGTCTCGAAACACTCTACGGTAATCCTACAACAGTGAGGAGCGATCGCAAATCGCTCCATAGTGAATCTAAGCTAAAGCCAGGCTACAGAATGATACCTAAAGTTTGGCAAAAGACTGGGAGGCTAGAGAATCTTTAAATAACACCTATATAGTTTTGGGACATCCCTTTTAACCCATAACGCTCATTGGAAGGTGTATATGTTCAAGTGGTCTCCGTGCAGTAACCTGAACAGTCATGCAAGACGAGCCATCTTTTTATGTCGCAGTAGTAGCTTAATTTCACTACTCGGGGACGCCATGATATGAAATGATCATCTTCTTTTAATCTTTAATTTCCTCACAACCATCATAGGAGTGGGCTTTTGGGTTCTCAAATCTCATAATGTCACCACTAACTTTTTAGCTGGCCGCTTTTTTATCATGAAATATAAAACCAATTTATTCGAATGATATTCGAAAATCGAATAACATTTGACCGATTAATTTTCGGTATTCGAATAGGAAGTCGAATATTCGAAAATTTCGATTTTCGAATAGCTTTCGATAGTCGGATGACCGAAATTTTCTATTTTTGAATCTTATTCGGTAGTCGAAAATCCGGAATTTTCGGTTTCCGAATAATATTCGATAGCTGAATTCGAAGAAAAAATTCGAATTTCTCCAAGTATAGTGACGGATACCCCTTGATGTCGTTCTGACAACTAAGGTACTGAAAGCGTTTCGTTATCTACACTCCTTCACATTAGTTTGCTGTACGCCTCTCAAATTGCTCGCTTTCTGATCGACTAAAGATTTTTGCCTCACTTGCTCTGTAGAAAAACTCAAATTATTCAGTTTGCATTCAGTTTGCTTTGATCTCTTACTTTTAGCTGTTTGTTTGAATTCATTTCGAGAAAGGGAGCCTAACTTTTGATTAGAAAAATACGCTGACATGTGGAGGTCCAAGCTGCAGAAGATAAACTCTTGAGTTTTGCAAATTGAATTGCAGTGATTATAAATCTCCAATAATTGACGTTTTATCACCAGGTTTTGTTTATTGAATGTTTATGTTGATGAAATTCCTACAAAGCTCTGTGGAGAGAGTAAAAATATGCCTTCAGATTGCCCTAAAATCAGATCATCTTGATAGATATTCGATTATCACTGACCTTTTTCAGTCATTGATAATATGTCTATATTGCTAACAAGGTAGTAGTGTTGAACCTCTAACTGTGTTTTCTGCTAATATCCCGGCTATACGTGTCAATCGCTTTCATCGAACTGATTGATATTAGCGAAAGCTTGAACAATTAAATTTGAGTAGTGCTGCTACCAAACTTTTTGGAGATTTGATCGTTTAATTCCCACGTTTGATCCTTTGAATGGATGAAGTCAATCGATCATATCTTGCGAAATTATCTGTTGCATGGTCAGCACATAGAGTTACCCTTGCGCTAAGTTCAGACCTTATCAACAAAAGCGCAAAAAAAGAAATTGAGGAGGTCGGCTAAGAAGCGTAGATATTTTTGCAATCAACATGCTTATTTACTCCCCCCCCCCCCGGCGCCAAGTTGCAACCCCTGCGCGTACGAATGCAATAAATCAACCAATCACCGTGTTTTAGATGATGTTATAGTGAGCCATTACTTTTTCTCAAAGGCGAGATCTGGTTGCTTACATGACGGAACTTCTATCGAAATTTTTCTTTGAACCCCAGATTGCAAGCTTTTAACCTTGAAAATTGAAATGAAATCACCTCTGATGAGCGAAAGCATCGAAATGAGTAGGTCGCCTACCCCTTCCCTCCGCCCGTGGCTTCCAACAAGCATAATCGTTAATAGATCCAGCAATCTTGTCATCGCAACTCTATCATTACTTTAAAGCTTTGCTGAGTCCTGTGATATTGCTAGACTGAGATGGTGTCTTTTCAAAACCAATCTGCAGATGATGATCCGCGATATCTTGATGTATATGGATCGTGTCTACGTTGAACTAAAGAAAGTGGAGCCGGTTTATCACCTGGGCTTAGAAATTTTCCGGTCAGCACCACATTTGCAAGGTGGGGGACATTAGGTCGCCGAGAAAGGGCGGTCCCCGCGGTCATTTGCGACAAATACGCACCCTTGTACATGCGCGGACATGCGTTCCTGCAGGGAATCCGCGCGGGACTCTTCCAAATTCGGCGACCTAATGTCCTCCACCCCTTTGCACAGTATCGGCTTCTCAGTTACACTTATTGTAGAGATCAGATTCTTTATCAAGATTTCATACACCTTCATCTAAGGACAACACTCTTGTCACTCATACAACAGGAGCGCCATGGAGCTGTTGTGAACTGGTATGTATCAATAGTACTTTGAAACATACAATCGACTACTTCTTATACTATTCAGGATAGGAATCAAAAATGCTTGTCAGATGCTGATTTCGCTTGGTATTCATTCGCACAAGATTTATACTAACGAGTTCGAGGCGCCCTTTCTTGTTTCCACTGCGGATTATTACCATACCCTAAGCATGTCCTATCTGGTTGTAAATACTGCCAGCTTGTATGTCAAGAGGGTGAGTGATTTTTACATGCTATGCGAATGTTGATTGGGCTCTTTTGTTGTAAGTGGTGGACGACTTGCCTCGAATTGCATGCTCTTTTGTGGAGCCCAACCGCCCTTGCGATTCCTTCGCGCGAGACCCTGTAAGCCGGTGCAAGTCATTTACTAAATACAATGTTGGGGATAAGTGCCTCTATGCCGCCTTCGAGATGTACCGTATTAAGACAGAATGCAAATCGAAATGCACATTTTTTACCACTATTTGGATGAAGAGTACTTTGTTCGAACTTGCGGACATTTTAACAGGATACTTGAAGTTTTAAATGAATCCAGGTTGAGCACTGGATACGCGAGGAATCCGAGAGAGCCAAGAGGTATTTGGATCCTCAGACTGAGAGTAAACTTCTCGACGTAAGCTTTTACGTCCTTCACACGTACTTCTTTGTGAAACGCTTTTGAAATGAGATTAGTTTAGGTGTTAGAACATGTACTTATCAATGAACACATGCATACGATCGTGAACATGGAACATAGCGGTGTACATGTTATGCTCGATAATGATAGAGTAAGTTTCAAAAAGGTCACATGAGAGGCTTCGTCAAGAAGGGTTAAAAATTGCAATTCTCACGAGCATAATGTTTTGAGTATGATGATCTCGCTTCTCTCTACACACTACTGCAACGAGCTGAAGGTGGACTCGAGATTATGGGCGACGCTATCAGCAGGTCGTACTATGACATTCATAAGTTCATAAGATGATAGCATGCTTCTGAAATTTTAATAGTTGTTGCTTGACTTTTGCAGATACCTCCGAAAAACTGGCGCTTCCACTGTGAAAGAAGATCGCCAGCGCACCCCTATTGGCTTTATAGAGGTGAGTTTTTCTATACGATCCATATCATTCATTCTCTGACTAGGAGACGCAAGACGCTTTGCGTACATCTCATTAACAAGTTCATGAATGAGTTTTAATGCGTTTGGGTTGATTTACTATTAGAAGAAGAACGTGGAAGAGCATGTTTGAACTCGTTAAACCACACTGGCTTGAACACGTTTTTTTCACGAATTCTGATAGCAATCAACCAAAACGCGTTAGAACTCATTCATGAACTTGTCGATCAAGTACGCAAAGCGTGCTCGTGTCTCTTAGTCAGATAATGAATGATTCTTTCAATAGTTTAGCCCTTGTCACTGGTTTAGCCGTGGAGCACGGCAGACATCACGGGAGTGGGAACACGCTTGAACGATGAACGATAGCATGTGCCAGCCGCCAGCCGGGTACCGTACGCGGTGCGCTGATCGCTCCGCCCCCTTGTTAATCAGCCTAGGAATGCATTGCAGCTATTGGAAATCTCTCTAAATACTTCGTTCATGTTTTTTCGGTTGGTTGCAATTTGGATAACAGTATATTTCAAATTTCAGTTAAGTTGAAAATCAATTTTCAGATCATTGTAAAATTAGTTCGCAAGCTCTTTTTAACGCATTTCAATTATTTATTCCTAGTAGGTTTGTCCATCAACACCGTTATCTCTTTTATCGTAAAAGTAAGTTTTGAAACCCTAATCATAGCTAAAAACAAATTTCATTGCGACGAGAATTCAAAACAAGCATTATAGGCGAACTTTTTTCAAGCAAACTAACTCGTTTTGCAAATATGCGATCATATCGAATAAATTTTCTCAGATTTCAAGAAAAACACGCTGCACTTATAAGTTTTCGAATTTGCTTTGAATATCAAAATTCTTTTATTTTGCTTCCAGAAGCTGTTATCCTCATTATAAATCGATCTGTAACTCAATCAAACTGCGTGTGAACTAGTCGTAAGATGTGAGGTCACTCAAACAATCATGCCTGAGGTGTTCTGGATTGATTTCACACTTCAAAGTTGGATATCCAGGAGTCACTCGGTCATTCATAGGTAAACCAGCAAATCTCTCGAATTTCACGACCAACACATCAGCTGTTCATTGATGCCAAAAAAAAGAAACAAAAAATTAACACAAGATTTTATAAATAGTCAAGCTTCACCCCAGATTGTAGCAAGCTTATATCTTACTATCAAAAGTTATTTTTACTTGACGGTATCGTTCGAGAAACTCGTCCGCCGCAGTAGGGCGGAGCTTCGAGCGAACACGTTATTGCCAGTTCATGACCCCGCGCGCCACTGGTACCAGCTATCGTTCATCTTGATATATACCCGATTTGTCCATGCGTTAGGTTCACCATAAACTCATCACTGAACATGATCAACGGCGTGTCCGGCATGGTAGGAGTATTCAAGGGAAGCATGCAGCGAGACGGTCCTTCTGAACCCACCGTCCCCTACAGTAATCTAGAACTAGGACGCGCGCGCATGCGCTGCGATGACCGCGGACGAGTGCTTTGCGAAGGGCTCGTATTTTCGAAAATCACCAACTCTTTTCGAGCGGCTCTTGCATTATGGAATGCAAGCCAACCACGCTGATTTCAACCAGACACAGCTACCATCCTCTGAATGTTTAGTATTCTGAGCCCTACTTCCCAGCTGGTATGTTTATGATTTAGGGGACATTCTCGAAGTCTTTTCATTTCCATGGTTAATAAAAAACTTCTCATGAATCTCCTTTGAATTCTTTCGAACTTTTTTTTTTGCTTTTTTCCACCTATATCCCTTGTGTGTGCGATCCTTATAACGTCGTGCATCGTCACATCATATTGCTAATGTGAGCTGCTTGATGTTACTGAGGAAAGCCCACGTAATCAAAGTGTGTGCAACAACTCTTTATAAAGGCCAATTCTAGCTTAAATTGGTGATCTACGCTAATTCGTTATCAAATGCGTATTTCCTCCTGACATTTCAGGGCAGCTCTGTAGCTTTCCAAGAAAATTATCATCACCTTAAAATTCTCATTCCTAGTAGAATTTACGACGTGCATGAAATTTTTACGCTATAAAAAGCATGATGCGTGCAGCAAAGAAAAGGTCGCTACCAAAATCAATCCATATAGATCACTACCAAATGAAGGTGAGGTGTGCAAAAAAAAACTTCATCATCATCATAAAAAAACGTATGCTTCCCTACTGGCATGCATGTAGTGCACATTTCAGTTGAATGTAACTAGATGATGCTGCAAGGAGGCAGACGTAGGAGACTAGAGCATGCAATCGAACTAAAAAAGCTGTAAAATAAGTCGAAATAGACATTGAAAATGTCTCACAGATCAAAAACATACCACCTTAGAAAGTGGCCGGCGATTTGAGTAGTGTGGAGTAGAGCGAATAACTTAAGTTACTGAATTCTAGGGAATTTGGGGAATCTAGGATTTTTCTAGAGAATTACCTCCAGAATCTCATTGTGGAGTAGGTTACCAGCGATGTGAAACTCGTCCGCCTCCGCAGCGCGTCTGCCCAGGTCAGCCGCTCGCTCCCGCGAACTAGCTAATCATGGAGTGACCTCTAATTAGCGCTGACCTCTTATAGCCGTCGCGATTGGGGCAGGTTCAGAAGGGCCTACACCCATGCAGCGTTATTGCGCCAAGTGTTGTGTCTGCCGCGTCCCACGGCTAACCAATGACTGGGGACGGAACTATGAAAGTAGATGTTGTGCGTCTCGAATACGTCTGAGACAAGTCATCGGGGCTGCTGGAGATTGCCGTGCGAAAAGGCCATCTCCCGAATTTTATCTCTGAACCGGACTAAACTTTGCTTATATAGACGACAGGGCGGTGTCATGGGCTACTTCGTTATCTTTTTTGCAAATTGAAGTACGGAACTGGCAGTTAACACAGGGAATAAGAGAGCATACGGATCGCGAATACCAGCATTGATTTTCAGCATTATCGGTTGCCCTTATTAATTTTATCGATTTTTGCAAAGTTTGAGCTGTTGCGGGAGAGGGGGTTAGTGAGCGTGTTACGAAAACACTGTAGGGCTGGAGAACTGGCACATTAGAACCAGAGCCCGGCATGCTTTGGTCTGTATATTTTTGAAAACAATCCCCAGACTTCGCATTTTTCCACGAAATCCCCACTGACGTAAAAACTAGTAAAAAAACAAGAACAATTTGCAACAACACGAAAACAAAAAACAGTTGTGCCAGTTCAAAGGGCGCCCTGGCAGCCATTTGATTGGAGCGCCATATCTAACGATGCGATTATCTATATTTTTGGTTAAAAAAAAAGAGTAGAGGCAATGGTTTGATTCGCTCTCTCCACTATTCAATAATTTTTAGCGATCCAATCGTCCAAACCATGAAGGTCCAAACCTTGTGTATCTTCATTATTTATGCTCCCAACCAACCCAGTTGGTTTGGCGATGGCCTAGAAACCAACAAATTCGGAAACGGGTACTAGGACACTTAAGTTTTTGAAACTTTTTACATAATTCAGTTTGGAGTAATGCTGTATACACATGGCCCAAATTCGGTCTCATGTGATTGCTGGTGCGCTGTAAACCATTTGTTTATTTGAGCGTCATTTTAAGTTCGAGCGCGCCTGATGAGAAACACGTTAGAGAATGTCAATCAACTTGATGGTTAGCATATTTGGAGGTCACTTACATGTATGTATAGCAGATTTACTATATCCACTTTGCTTTTACCCCACAAACGAACCAAGCATCTGTGCCGGGCCCTGATTGGAATGGGAAGGAATAAAAAATCGGAGACGAAGATACCGTCTAGAAATGGCGCGGAATATGTAACTTTATCACCGTCGACAAGGACAGTGCAAAGCCGTATATCCCAGTTAATTTCTATTCACATGGTGTTTTATTTTGAGGAGTTTCTGTTTGCTTCAGTGATGGTCGCTTGTATCTAACTCTCTCTCTATATCGCTGGTTAGTAGATGGAAGAAGTTCTTCCCCCCCCCCGCTCCTCCTTAAGAAAGTCTCTAAATTTTTTGGAAATGCCTACATAGAGTTACAGAATTGTACACCTTTGATATTGCACTAAATTGACCTGTTTTTACTTGTAAATGGTTGAGACCATTCTATAAAAATCCGAGCTAGGTTTGCAAGGCGTTTTCAGCGCTATAAGGGCGCTGAAAATCTGAGAATTTCTGTATTTTTTGAGGAGGGAACGGAAAAGCTGGCGCTCGCCCCCTTTAATCAAAAAGATTTGCTGCTTCCCCTCTCCCCTCGGATAAAATTTCTCGGGTCGTTACTTTTATAATATTTTTTGTAGAAGCATCTAGAGTTTTTGAAAAGCGAGCAAGGAGTTCTTCTTGCAAAGTACTCTTTCTTGCGAAGTATTTCGTCTCTGACTTGTCAACTTTTGACTTCTATGCGCTAAATCAAAACTGCGGTGAATCAGATTTTTCAGATCTTCAGACTCTGATACAGGCATATTGATTCCATTTTTTAGGATTTGCTGGATCTCAAGGAGAGATTTGACGAATTTCTCTTGATGTCTTTCCAACGCGATAAAGCGTTCAAGAATATTATTCAAGCTGAATTTGAAACTTTCATCAATCTCAACAAGAATAGTCCGGAATATCTATCACTTTATATGGACGAGAATTTACGAAAGGGAGTGAAAACGGTCGGCTATTTTTTTCCATTTTTGCGGAATTTCAATCTTCACCATTGCTATTCAAGAGTCATTAGGTGCCATGCGTGAACAGTATGAGGAGCAATTTTCTGCCTTGCCTTCTTATAATTATAAACCGTGAGCCATTACTCTTACCTGTGATTGTGAGGGGATTGACCCTTTATTTAGATGTAGTAGAAGACTTGTGCGAAATTTTGGTCCTATCAATCTTTAGAACTAAGGCATACTTCCTGCCATTGTGTCAAAACTACATCCGAGCGATTTGGCGGTTTGCCAGATGTTTGCCGATCAATTGTGCGCAGACTTTAAATGCACAAGCGCTTGGCTGCTGTAAGTTATCGCAAACGCATAAAGTCTGGCCCAAGCAAAGCACGCTTACGACCAGATATGGAGAGTGCCAAATAGCGCAGCGACTGGAATCGCGTGAGGTATGCCCTAGACCTTACGCAGGTGATTCGAAACCTCCCATGACTGCGAACTTACAATTACTCACAAATTAGACCAAAGGCACGGTCCACCCTCAGTTAGGCGTCTTGTGTCTTGAGCTTTTGGCGGCTTACGATAGTGGTGCTCCCTATCAAGTCGATGCCCATGTCGCGACGCAAAATGTCGCCTCGGGAGCGAAAAAGCTGCTCCGGAATAACGAAACGAGGACCTCTAGCCGGCATGCTCCAATCACCGTTTCGGAAACCGCGCCGTTCTCAGAAACGGGGGATTGTCGCGGTTCTCACGGATTCTCGACTTCACGAAATCAGGGACCTCAGAAGGCCCCGGAATGAAAAAAAACAATACAGTCTAGAATCTGGGTGGACGGTGCCTTTAACATGGTGATCAAAAGTTTTGTATAAATCTGTCAGTGTAGCGGGGCTCTGTAAGAATACGGTAATGCTATTATATGAGATACAACGAATTCGCGTGGGTCTCGGAGGGATCGTTCAGCATAATGAAAGGGTATACAACATTCTTGCACTATAGGAATTCGAGGTTCGATGACTCTTAAGCAACACGAATTTGTTCTTACTACAGTTTCGCAGTTTACTCACCGTCGTAAAAGAGAGCTTTGACAGAAAAGGATTATCGGACTTGTGAACAGCCTGTCGGTTAACACCCTTTTTCAAAGCTTCTAAACTAAAGGTAGAATAAATGCGGTTGAATGCTGCAACAGTACTTTGCTTTATTCGCCTGCCATCTTCACTTTAAATGAAGAAAGTGAGCTTTCGGTTCATGGTGCTTTTCAAGGAGAATGAAGAGAACGCCGAAAAACTTTTGGACAGAGCAATGGTTTTGTTCCGTTTTCTCCAGGAGAAGGATGTTTTTGAAAAGTTGGTTTTTTTCTTCGCTTGTTCCGCTCTCTGCTATCTGTTGAAACAGGTATTACAAGCAGCATATGGCAAGACGACTGCTGCTTGATAGAAGTCTCTCGGATGACATGGAAAGGATGATGATCAGCAAGCTCAAGGTAATGAGCGATTGCACCTGCCTGTCGTTGCTTTTGTATGTGTCATATCGTTTTAGACGGAATGCGGCTATCAATTCACTCTAAGGCTGGAGAACATGTACCGCGATAAGGAGCTATGGTCGACTCACGCTACTGCTTTCAGAAAATTCAGTGATGTATGTTGTAACACTCGATGCATCTGTCAACATAAGTAGATGTAAATTCGTAAATATCTGTGGGATACTTTTAGCGCTCGTAGAGAGGCTGTCCTTTAAAGGCAGTGTCCGGGCAAAAACTCGATTTTGAGGTTTTGTGCTTACCCGGGCCTATTCGCCATGCTGACTTCGAAAATCCACATTGGAAAGCGTGAAAACGGCGAAAAAGGGCTTAAACGCAGTAGGGAAATCAGAAGTGGGCGGGGTCTTCCCCACTGTGAAGTTCACGGTCTCAACTTCTGAAGCAATTCCCTCATTTCTGCTAGCGCCCTGAGATCTCCACAGGCCAGGTGCAAATGCATGATTTGAAATCGGGACCGAGAAGATCGCTTCGGAAGCTTGGAGCGTAAATCCGCAGTGGGGAAGACCCCGCCCACTTCTGATTTCCCTACTGCGTCAGAGCCCTTATTCGCCTTTTTCGCGCTTTCTAATGTGGATTTTCGGATTCAGCATAATGAATTGGACCGGGTGAGCACCAAATCTCAAAATCGACTTTTTGCCCGGACACTGCCTTTAAGGAAAACATTCGTGTTTCATGATAACTTTGAGTTTTTGAGATTAGAGTTTTCAGTCTTTACCCGATGAAAAAGTGATTGATATCTCAGTACGCGTACTGACAGCTGGTGTTTGGCCTACTCAAAGTGCCCCTGTGTGTATCTTACCTCCAGTTTGTGAGCACGCATTCAATGTGAGTTCTTTTGGGTCTATCTAACAATAAGCAGTGATTCAAGTGATTCTTATAGACGTTCACCAACTTTTACGTAACTAAACATAATGGTCGCAAGCTTACCTTGAACACAATGCTGGGCACAGCAGATGTGAAAGCTGTTTTCTATGGAAGCAATGCAGGAAAGGTTTGATACTTGTCACTGTTCTTCTTAGCTTTCACTGAACCGATGGCAGTACTCTAGACTGCGCCACGAGTCGCACGTGTGCCAGCACCGTGCTTGCGCTCACGCATCCCTGTATCGATCGAACGGCTGCGCTGGCACGTCTGCTAGCTCAGCTCTGGCACAGGCAACTCTACACGCAGCTTTAGAGGCAGTGTCTCATCAGAATGATTATTGAGATTTTTCCATATCACAAGCCTTTCTGACCCTGCCTAACCTTACGCGGGCTTGAAATCGCATAAAATGCTCTACAACCCCCTTTCAAAAGGTCTCGAGAAAGCAACGCGGACGAGTTGTGCCTTCCCACCCTAGCCTCTGCCACAGTGGCACCAACACCATGCAGGTGGACGTAGAGTGGAAGGGCGTGCTGAAACGCATAAGGGGGAAACCGGAGAGGTGCGGACCAAATCGTTCGGCGCTGACTCCTTTGAAGGCAGTGGCTCGGGAAAATTGCGGTTGTGAGCTTTCCATCCCTCCTTGGCTTTCTGAATGCGCTCTAAGGCTGTGCTTGAAAAGTGAGAGCTTTTAATGGCGTTTTCCGCTCTTGGATATTGCTGGAGGGAATGGGCGAGCTATTGCCAACTGAGTCATTGGCTGCCTGAGCCGATCAGTCAGTTTTGCCAAAATGGGTGGAGTTACAGTTTCCTGCATCCAGTTGCTATTTTTGGCGGGAGCGCTCGCCCAGCCCCCTGAGCGACCCTCAAGGACGGGAAACGCCAAAAAGCACTTTTAAATTTATAAGCACAGCTCCGGACTCAGCGGATCCAGGAAGCAATGTAGGTGTGAAAACTCGCAGTCGCTATTTTCCCGAGCCACTGGCGTATTTTGCTGCGTAGAATGGTCAAAGAATCGAGTCGGACTCGTTACAATGGCCTATTCAGGGGCACTTAGTTGAATGTGTCGAGGTTGAGGAGGAGCATAAGCAAACGCAGCCACAAGCTCTGATGAGCGTGGTTTGTAGCAGCATTCAGTAACTCCATAGTAGCCTGCAGATCCAGACCGAATTCAACTGAATTTTCGACATCTCTCGTTGAACTGCGCGCAACCAGGAAAACGCTGGAAGGTTACTGATTCTGCAGTTACTTATAAAAGCAATTTTTCTGGACACGTCTAGTAAACGAAGATCCCAGCCTATTGAAATATGTTATTCGTTCGATGATTGTCTCCTGCTTACTTCAGCGAACCGCTTTGGATCCCTCTCATGAGCAAGTACTTCAATGTACATTTTTTCAGCCTGGGCCTTCTGATGCGCCCGAACCTGAGAAAGAAGAAACTAAGATCCTTATGGTCAATACTCATCAAATGGTCATTCTTATGTGTTTCAACAATCAACCACGGCTCACCTATCAAGATCTTCGTGTAAATGACTTGGACTGATTTTATCCGTTTCCATCATATGTATCTTCCTTCGTATCTAGGAACAAACACGTATCGCGGAAAAGGAACTGAAACGTAATCTACAGTCGCTGGCAATGGGTAAACTTACTCAGCGCATTTTGTGCAGAAAGGGTAAAGGAATAGACTTAGGCAAGTTTGCTCTGAATTGAAGGTTTCGGTCAAATTACTACCTCCCAGCATTTTTCCACATCCACTCTTCTTTCTAACACGCTAGGTTGCGTGGCTCTTCTTTGTGTTTACTACCACATTGGGAACCTATTCTTACCATTGAGTTTTTCCATATTTTACGGTAAATCACTTGAGTAGCTTCATTTTTACAATCCCTATTTCAATACTTATGAATGTAATGGCAGTGGTTTCCTTACGCGGTGCGGAAATGAAGCTGCACCAGCCCGCTGATTTTTTCAGATGCCTTGGACGAATTCTCAGTTAACGACGGCTTCCAATCAAAGCTTACACGCATCAAAGTCCAACTCGTGACAGTCAAAGCAGAGACTGAGCCCGAGAAAAAGCAGACGAGGACAGAGGTTGATAAACTTGTTCTTTTGCCGTAATGCCTGATCTAGCTCCGTTTCTAAAGGTGGAAGACGACAGAAAACACGAAGTTGAAGCAGCTATTGTCAGGGTTATGAAGTCAAGGAAATCGCTCACCCACAACAACCTCGTTACGGAGGTAGGCTAGCCACCATCAATAACGAGAGCCAGTAATTGATGTAAAAAGCCGACAACACCGAATTTTTTACTGCTTTGTAGGTAACGCAACAACTCAAGCAACGCTTCACACCAACTCCTCAGTTGATTAAAAAGAGAGTAGAGGCCTTGATTGAAAGAGATTATCTGGCGCGGGATGCCCAGGATCTCAAGCTTTACAATTACATTGCATGATCCTTTTAACGTGATTCTTGTTGTGACCAACCCACAAACTAAACATGAATCTATTACTGTGCTAGAATAATAATTATGCCTTTCTTGTCTCTTTTCAGTTTTGCGGTCTTCCTCGGATAATTGTTTTGCTTCTACTATTGTCTATTATCTCTGCGTCTATATGGGTCTTTGTCTGTGTTCTGAAGACAGAACACTGTTAAAGTTCGTATCTCATCTTGTAACATATCTTCTCTGAAAAATTGTTTTCCTGTTGTCCACGAGTGATAGAAGTGCCCGGTGTATTGCTATGCGCAATTATTATCTCAGCAAAGTTTCGAACACATCTCGGATTTGATCAGTTGTGCTCTTGCATAGCTTTTTGCAGAACTTCGTGTGTGTGTCTAGATGGGGTGCTTACAGGGTTTTCCAGCCCATTTGGTTGTGGTCTACTTTTTTTTCAAAATTTCCGAACAAGGCATGATCATTGGACTTCCGGGTCGATTGTACATTTGTTTTTGCTCATTTCTTCCTGTCAAAGTAAACCTTTGTTCTTTGTATGAACTGAATAAGCACAATCAAGTCATTGTAACGCTGTAAATCTCATAATGAAGATGACTCCTTTCCAAATGCACAAGCTTGAAGAGAAAGGTGCCATCTGAAAGTAGTGATCTTACTCATCTCACTCAGCTGGCTATCTGAAAGCAAGGGATGAGCGCTTGAGAACTAGCGCCGACCAGGCAAAAATAAGAAAAATATACGGAAACCCTATGTGCCGTGACTCGTGTTGTTCTTCAAAATTTCTTGTAGTGAAACTAACACCAGCTTGTGGTGACATCTTATAACATTCACGAGCAGGCCGTTTTTTTGGCTCCTGACATCAGACTAAAGAATTTCTGCAGTGCGGACTGACAAACCACCGTAGGGTCGAACGGTTTTGAAGGAGTGTTCGTTGTCACTCTCTCAAAAACCGTTCATATATACCCTTTACTATGTATAGAATAAACTGTGTATGGGCGAAATATCACACGGAACCAGTTAAACGCAAGAATGTCCTGTCTTAGCGTGAGATGATTCGTATACGGTATGCAAGATGTCACAAAATCGATTATATTTGTCAACTCTGGCTCTGCTAACATATGGAAGTTAAGCTACAGACGCTTGTTCTGAATAACTGTTGCAGTGCCAGAAATTAAGAGAGGGAGGGCGACAGAAATTTCTATTGAAAGGGTATGATGTTTGTCGAGCTCTCCAAAATTTGCGAGGTGCTTTATTCTTCTACATATCGACTTTTCTCAAGCTTGCTCCCCCCCCCCCCCTCCGAAAAAATATCACAATAAGCTCTACGGATTTTAGTATTTTCAATTAAGCAATCTGAATGAAAGTAAAAGTCACATTGTTAAGATTAGTCACTTTCCACTCAATGACTAGTCGATTGCGGCATCATCAGCGAAGCAAGTATGAATTGTTTGCGGTCGTACAAGGGCCGAAAAGATTTAATTTCGGCGACTGAAAACATCGGCATATTCTGAGAGAATGCATATCGCGAGCTTGCTAATTGCACCCAAGAGTATTCCGTTCAGCTTGACCGAGGTCACAGCGCCGCAATTTCACTGCTGCTTGCTGTACCCAAAAACTCACCATTACGGAAATTGTCAATATTTCTAATTCAACCCTTTCTTTCTCTTTGCTTGCTTTATTGGTACGGATTGCAGGTTTGTTTTTGAAGGATCCTGAACACTGGAATTGTCGGGATGTCCCTTTATAAATCCTTCCTAAGTTTTAGCGGACATTGTGGACATTGCAACCATACTCTCACTCGCGTATTTAGCAATCGTCTTTCTTCAAATTTTTGACATGCGGCTATCTCTTTTTGGCTTCACAGCTGGTTTTATCGAATGAACAAAAGGAAATATCATTTTGACATTTGTCTGAGCAAATACCGATAGCAGAAAAGAAGAAGACATTCCTAATTTTTAGTTTTCTCCAAAGAAGTCGTCAGCAGTTAGATTGGACCAACGCTCATTAATTTTGTGCCAACAGAAATTTCCAGAACATGGATATTACGTTCGCCATAGTTTATTCATTTTTTTCCAGTGTGGAGCTGAAACCCTCACGAGTACAAGACGCATCTTTTTCGCTTTTTGAAGCAAGCCGCGTCGTTGTGTTTCTGAAGACGAAACTTATGCTGCACGATACCTTCAGACAATACGCAGCACGGTATGGGGTCCTTTAATCGCGATCTTTGGTGAATTTAGGCTGGTCAAGTTTAGAAAAAAAAAACAGGTGCTTTTGTACTCGTAAAATTAGAGTACTCAGTTTTTGCTAATCTCGGTGCATCTTGTCGAAAAAAGGGCTAGAAGAAACCTTATGAAATGAGACGACGCATGCGATGTAATACGTAGCTATTTTGGCCGGAGTTGCGGTTGCTCAGACAATTGGAGCGTGCAGCGCGTCGCAGACACACGGTGGCGCAGCACCCAGTGCGGGGATGGCGGCGCTGGGTGCTGCGCCACCGTGTGTCTGCGTGCGCGCCGCTGCTGTTGGTCCGCGGATGGCTGCCATTTTTCAGTTTTTCGTTGCGCTGTATATCCCAAGTCCTGATGATTAACTCCACACTTCATATGCCAAAAATATGAATTCATATTTGGATACAAAAATTCGAATTCGGCACCCATTCGCATTACTACCTAAGGTTGACGCTTAGGAGCAAAAAAAGAACTTCGGTTTCTGTGACTATTCATACGCTAGGATGCGATACCTAACCTCTCGAATGATGAGGGGCAGCCTGACCACTGCGTCGTACCTTACGCCGGTATCCCTTGCGCTTACAGTAGTGAGAATTGCAGGCGCGCGGATCGCACGGGTAGAGTATAAAGGCATGCGCGCAGCCTCGTAAAAAATTAGGCGCAAGGGTCGCGGGATCGAACATAAAGGTGGTCCGCGGGCCGCGGTGTTGGCCATTTATACGCGCGCCGCTCGCACCAAATGTCTTGGATGGCACGCGTTTGGCGTACTGCCGGACACGCCCACAAATAAGACGCGCTCTACCGCATTGACCATAAACGCGCGTGCGCCGCACGCTCCAAGTGTCTGAGTGGTTTCAAGAAACGACCAAGTAGGATCAGAAGTGAATTTTTAAGGTTATTTAGATGTATATGACACCCCGTTACTTTTTACAATCTTTCATGTGCGATCGATCCTGCAAAATACAAAGATATTCTTCTATCCTTCATAAGCTAATTAGCTACTTTATCGGTAATGTAGCCGTAAGATTCTATTAGGTTGATGCATAATTCCTGCACCAAAATAGGTACAGACCGCAATAATCCGGATTAATCCTATATCCCAAATGGGATTCGATATAACATTAGATAGAGGAAACCTAGCTCTACAAGATAGTGCTTAATGATTTGCAGCAGCTTTGATCCAAGCGAAGATGGAAGCCAAAAACGAAAAGGATCTAAGCGCTCCAGAAAATCAAGAAAAAATTGGAAGTCCGTTCAGAAAAATCTTTCAAAATTCCTAATCTGCTTATGCATTGACATTCCGTATAAGAAATTTCTCTATGCAGTTGCTGTATTTTTCTCTTAACCAGAAATTGCAAAAACGAAGTTTTTCATGTTTTTGCAAAAATGCTGAGATGTTCTAGCATTGATAGTTGTATACTATAGGATCTTAGAAGCGTTAATGTGAATTTTCAGCTCATTACAACAGCTAGTTTACGAGAAGTATCGAATTTTCAGCAACTAGGCAAGAAAAATTCGGATAAGGAGAGCTAGAATCGTCATTTCTCGTGAACTAGCAGTTCTAGAAGGCTGAAAATGTAAAGTTTCACTGCTAATGGCATGTACCATACAACTGTTAATACTAGAACACCTCAGCACTAATTTGGCAAAAACATGAAAACTTCGTTTTCTCACCGTCTAGCTGAGAAAAGAATACAGCAACCGCATAGATAAATGTCTTACGTGGAATGTCTACGCGTGAGCAAGAAAGAAATTTTGCAAGAGCTTTTTAAACGAAGTTACAATTTTGTTTTGATTAGTCCTAAGGTTTTCGGACGCATGGTTTTTTTTTAAGTTTTCGGCTTAAAACTTCGCAAGGATCAAAGCTGACGTAGGTATTTGAGCACTTTCTTGTAGAGATAGATTTGCGCTATCTAATGATGTATCGAATTCTATTTGGGATAGGATATAGGATTATTCCGGATTATTGCGATCTGTACCTATTTTGGTGCAGGAATTATGCATCAATCTAATTTATATGTCTACTGCGTGTAGTAACCTAGCCGCAAATGAGAAGGTACAATTGTGTATGTAACTAACTTCCAATAAAGTACATACTCTTTTTGATTTTTGAATTCCATGCTTTTTGTACTTTTGTAGATGCATAGACGAGATAAGTTGGTGGTTGGACACGTGCAAGCCTTGGTTAGGTGGCGAACTCAAATTGCATTTGCGCACTGCTGTGTGGGATTTTTTTGTAAATCAAAAGTGAGAAATTCTCATATCTGAGCGCAAAAGTGAGCTTTTGGAATTCTTGGTCATATTGACAACTGAGAGCAGTGTCAATGGCTTCAAATTTTGTTTTGTTTCGCGTGTGCACCAAGATCATCTTTTGCACTTAGAAACAGTTTTTTTTGAACATATTGTGTAGAATCTTGAAGAAATTTGAGTACTTTTCGAGTTTTTGTCTTCAGAACATTTCTTCTCTAGAAAACAAAGTTCATTTCATGTGTCTTTGTAATTCATTTTTATTTCAATTTTGGCCAGTAGACCCGGGTCCCGTAATCAAACTACCCTAAAATCTTACAGATTAGTCCGCTTTTTGACAAGAAAAATTTATGAAAATGCACCCTCGCAACGACAAGAATCTTGCAGATAAGTCCTCCCAACAGAAAGGTCCGTCTAAGATGAGTCCGGATTTACCTAACAGTGTTCGGACTTATCTGACAAGATTTCAGGGTAGTTATAATTGGAAAGAAAACGGACTTATCTGTAGGCGGACTTATCTGAGAGGGCCTTATTTGAGTCAAATAGCGGACTCATCTGTAAACGTACTTATGTGATGGGAGGAGTTATCGGTTAGATTTTAGGGTAACAAAAACAGGAATGTTTGGGAGTCCATTTTTCCTATGATTTGACCACCCAAGGAATATTTGATCAACTGAAGCAAGGCGAATGCGTAGAAACGGCAACATCTGAACTCATTCGGGCGGCCGCATTTGTATAAGAGTCCAACGAATGTTGGAATGGTATCATCATACCAACCGAAATAGGGTGATTGCTGCTAGCACACATTACAAGAAAGTTTCGGTCACGAACTTCAAACAACTCTCGTTTTTACAGGCCTCAGCTCTCCAAGAAGATTTGAAGATTTTCTGTAGCGGTCAACATTTTCACAATATTTAAAAACTTGTCACAGAGTGTTCCAAAAAGATGTGCACACTGTTTGATCGTTAATAACTTTCTTGCTTTCAAGTCTTTACCAAGCTTGAGGTACCATTCTGTAGAGCGTATTTAAGCTTAGATTTACAGTATGGAGCGATTCACCAATCACTCTTCATTACTGTATATGAACTTTCAGCATACAGCGTCACTGCGGAATAGGCCTTCTTGAAAAAATAATCTCAAAAGAATTTGAAAATTTGTGTAACAAGATTTTCAGGCGTGCTGATTTCACTACATGACTTTTCAACAGTTTTCGAGCTTTCTTGATGGCGTATTCACATTTCTGACGAACGAAAAGCAGTTGTTACCCTAAATCTGAAGTAACTTATAAAAGGAGCGCTATACTGAAGTGCTAATTTCATATGTAGATTCAGCGACTTCGATTAGCCCGTTTCAAGAGTTTCTGGCCTGTTTGACTTTCTTTCTGAGGTAAAATACCGGCAAAATACCGCTTCCAATGGCTTGATATCCTCCTCGAAGTTCCTACCGTAATCTTACAGTAATGAAGAGCGATCGATGTTCGCTCAAATCTAAGTTGGACCTCGCTCTATCGAACGGTACCTCAATCTCGGCAAAAGACATAAAAGCAGGAGAGTTATTAACGATTAAACAGTGTGCACATCTTTTTGGGACACCCTGTATTTCACGTTAGAACAACTTTTCTGCAGTTCTTTTTATTTCGTCGCTTCCAAAAACTTTTCTCGGCCCTCCTTCCCCTCATTTCTACTCCCCCACCTTGCTTTTCCATCGCCTCTTTATTTGCAATCAAGTATTTTTTGGGACATCAAGTTTTTTGTTATATGTCTACGGAGCAGGAAGACTCAAAACTATCTACACCAAACAGACTATAAATGTGATAATCTGAACTGATGGAATCTACACCTCTTCAGTGGCAAACAACGGTCATCAGTGTTTCCCGCGTGCAACCGAAAACTTACAAGAAGGTGGTCGGAAGTCGTAGAGTTTCCTCAAAAGCCGCATATCTTGTGATGCTGTATTGAACGCCGATTTCAAATTTTTTCTCATCTGCCGAACATCTCCGTGGGCGAAGTTATAAGCAACTTCATTGCAAGAGATTCATGTTCGAACAAGTCATTTGGTCGAAGCGATTAGGAAGGTGACGCGTGCCGTAAACAAAGCTCAAAACGCTGGTCATGATTATACCTTCTACATCCTAAAAGCATTTTTGAAGGAAGTTATAGGCTGTTTTGTTTCTAAGAAAGACGTACGGCCTGTGGACATCAGCATGGTTGGACAAAACTCAAAAGGTTTGAATGGCATTAAATTTAAAGTACGATGCTTCTCAGTTGTTCTACACCTACAACTAGACCTGCATACTCTCTGAATTAACTCAAAATGGCGCAAATGCTGCATAAAGCCAACAAATTTTTTTTGAAGAACGCGTCGCAGCTATAGAACGTACGTCTAAGATTAGTGTTGTAGGCTCTATTTATCGATTTACATCATCTTCCTAATCCCAATCTCATGTTTTGCCTGCTCTCTAGAAAGACGCAGATCTATAAGTTTTGGTACACCATTGCATCAAAATAAACGTATATGCCCGAACTTGCACTCTTGTATAATCATCTTTGCAACAAAATCGGTCACATTCTTGCCTGTAGGCGTCAGCAAAAGAAAAGCAGATTTGGATTCTTTACGCTGCATTGTAGTAGCAGTTTTCCTGGACTTTGAATTTTTACGATATTCTTGCTGGTTTACCAAAAACTAGAAAATAAATGTTTCAGAATAAGGCACGGGCATCATGCAAAGTATTCACGACGCAGTGGAAAGATTCGTTCTGTTTTCGTTGATATCAACCGCCCTTTCCCAGCCACAACCATGTTTCCTGAAGTGCAAAGACAATTACGTGAGTTATTCTTGAAGAACACACATGCTTGAAGCCCTAGAAGCAGGGAATCAAAATATAGGTTGATGCATAATTCTTGCCCCAAAAAATATTTAAAAAAGGATATAAAATAAAAGCTAAGATATATAAGATAAAATATAAGATATAAAAAAATGTTTTAAAAATGCTTGAACAAGCTAGTCAATGTACGCAATATGATATTCGTTATGTATATCAAATGTAGTATTCTCTAACACATTTTAGAAAATCAATCTGAAACGAAATCCATAAGTCGGGTTCAAAAAAGCGAACTTCATAACTATTCGTAAATTCATGCGATAACTACCATCTTTTTTGAAGAGAAAGTGTAGGCACAAAAACAAAAGCAAAAATAAGTTCAGAGATCTTAGTAGACGTTTTAGCAATTTTGGAGATCAAAATCCGAAAAATCACTTTTTGGCTAATTTCTTTGATCTGCTTGTATCGCTGACATATTAGGTTGTCCCAAAGTTTTGTCCGTTTTTTTTTCATCGTTCACTAAATCTCCAAGAACACCAATCCATAGACGACTTACAAGGAAACGATACTTGGTGTCCGTGGCCTTTTGAGATGAATTGTATACCGTCACATTCGTCTTGGGACGCTGATTCCGAATCTGACTTCCGTTTCTGCTAATCATTTCTCTAGAAGAAGCTATGAGGGATTTTTGCGTCAATGGTCGCCTAAAAGAAATACGGTCGAGGATGCCTAATTTTTGAAAAGAAGCTTGATTCAGGCAATGCAAAACTTAAAAACACAAAAGGACTCGAACCTAAACCTGCATTAACTTGCGAGGCTATCGCACTAGCCACTACACCGCATCCTGGCGGGGGTTTTGGCATTTCGACCACATCTTCTTTGGCGTGAAATTCCTTCATAACCTTTTTCCAAGAAACGACTAGCAAAAACGGAAGTCAGTTTCGGAATCAGCGCTCCAAGATGAGCATAATGGTATGCATCTCATCTCAAAAGGCCACAACACCAAGTATCGTTCCCTTGTTAGGTACCATTTGATTCAGATTTTTACCTCTTTCTTACAGCTATATCTGCTCTGTGATCTACCCTGCCTTTGCAATGTTATCGCCATGGTTTTCTAAACGGTCAACATAAATGTCAAATTTTTCTTGAATTTAAAAAATTTTTATACTGATGTTTCAAAGAGCGCTAGTAACTTTTATGTAGATCAAAACTTTTGCTACATTGTACCCATTTTAATTATATGGGCCACGTTTACCAAGTCCGTTATAATCATTCATTTAATAGAAAACCGCAGCTTTTTTATTAAGTTTACTAGTAAAAGTACCGAAAATTCCAGAAAGCTACTTTCAAGGCAAATCAAGCTTGGTTATGTTGCATAAATAATGTTTAATGAAAATCATGTTTCAGTTTGCAAAAACTTCAAAAGCTTTCGTGTATTTGCTGCAATTACGTGTTTCATGACTTTGCCAAAAAATGAGACCTCCGAAGAAATAATTTTTTTTTGTAGCTAAAAACAGCAGATTAGGAGAATCCAAAATTATTACCTTCTAGTCCGAGAATTGCCCTATTTGATCCATACTTAACCCTTTCCGAAACTTCGGAATGAAATTTTTGAAAATCAGCCTAATTTTGAGCAGATAAAATTAAAGGCTGGAGAATTTTGGCAGCTATGAAAAAAGCGTACAAGATTGTGGTTCGAAAATTTATCCTTAAAAAAGAGAAGGAGAAGCTACATTGAATGCATGTTAATACTATTCGTTTCTTAATTGCGCGCGGTTTTGCAGTCGTTTGAAAAAATCGACAAAACTTTCGGGACAACCTAATATACCAACAAACAATTTCAATTTAAACGCATGCGAATTTTAGAGCAAGAGTTTCCTTCTTTATTATGTATCATATCAGAAGATTCCATTGAAGATGGAGAAAGCAGCGGAATTCAAGCGTTTTGGTGCAAAACTTATGTATCAAACCTAACATATCAAAAAATATGAGATTCAAAGTGTGCTATGCTGTTTTAAGAGATAGACACATTTAGAACACTTTTCTAAGGCAGGAGTGCTCAGAAGCACACGTTTAGATGAACACGATGCAAGGCTACTTATCACAAGAGTCCCCAGAATGGAACATTGACATGGCGACTCCGCTGCAAGCTCTTCTCTCACAGAACTTTCACCAGAAGAAGCTAGTGTCTAGGATCGATGGCATATGCAAGTAAGTGACTGTTTGTACGAATAGCTTTCGTATTTATATTATTATTGCGGTATTTTGTGCGGATGAAACTTTGGAAGTTGAATAACAAATGCAGATTTTAGAACACTTTTGAATTTTTTCATGGCTTGTTAGTCGCACAAAGATAATGTCCACGTGAGCTACATCGCTGTGCAAAATTCTCCTCAAACGCTCAGGTAAAAACCTTGGCAATTTGACCATTTATGCGATCAATTCTTTATGGCGCCGTTTTCGTGGAGTGATAGACTTTCATCACTTTTTTGGGCTAAAGAGGCTTGCACATCGGGTTGCTAAACGTGGCCTTAACTCTGCAAATGGTGGTAATACGGACCCAATTCTGCACGCCAGAAGCCAAGTGGATCCGTTTGATGGGCAGTTTCTGAGCGACCCATTCAACGGATCGCTTTTGCTCGTGCTTTTGAATGGTGAATCTAGATCTTGGCATTGTGTGATGTGCAAAAAATCGCGGCTTGAATTCTTGCTGCTACTCGTTCTATGAAATTCGTTACAGACAGACACACAAAAAAGCACAGACACCTTTGGCCCGTTCTTATTATAAAGCATGATAGTTTTTTTACTCTCCGAGCGTTAAAAACCTGCCGCATGTGATTGCTCGGTTTTGTTCGCATATTTTTCGCCCAAGATTTTTTTGGTATGACAATACCTACTCAGAACCAATATTTTTTGCCATAGATGAACATTTTGCATGTTTGTTACTCATATTTCCAAATACACAAGCTTTCTTGATATTTGCCTCAGAAACAAGGTTAGAAGTCCTACTTTTTTTGTTGTTATTTGGAGTCCATCAACTAATTTTCTTTCTTGAAGTGCCCGTTCGGTAGGTACCTTCCACGTATACGTGCAATACAATTTGTTGGTCAGATGCATACATGTGAGCACCCCAACATCTTCTTAACTAAGGCCTGACACCGGGAAATGCACTGTGGCTAGTGTGGGCAACGCAAGGATACGCAGTATGTATGGGCAACCGCAGTATTCTTATCCTATGCATTGTCTGAAACTCAAATTCTTGCACCAAATTTTTTTTGAAAATTCCTGTAGTTTGGATTATACTATTGGATTCGGACATGTTATAGAGCAAAAAATGTCTTTTCGAAAAGCTGTGATCTACTTCTTCTAGTGAGAAATTCGTTCATAGAATTTGTTTTGGTTAGAAAAGTATTACATATATTATTCACAAGGAAGAAAATCGTATACAGATCAAACGGTTAGCTAGGCATTTTGATTGACTATTTTGAAATCCTTGATGCTAGAGTTATGCAACCCAGTAGCCCATGCAACACTAAAATAAAAGCGATTCGTCCTACTGTCTCTCTGCTTGCTGTTACATTGAAGGTTACTTCAATGTTTCCAGCAATAATTTTTCGCAAACACCAAACTTTTACAACGATGGCCCTCAAAAAAATCCATGAGGGAAAACATGAATACGACTGAAAAGAAGAAAAGCAGACCAGCTCGAGGAATGGTCTGGAGGTACGATCAGAGCGGATTTTTCGCAAACGAATGCCGCGTGGCGTCAACAGTATATGACCCAGCATTTTTCGCAGTTATACCTATAACGGCGAGCCATGTATCCGCCTACATCCACTCTCCTCCCCCGTTCCTCGCCTATCACTGCGGCACCTGAAAACTTTGGTGGGCACAAGATTTGGGCGCGGCGTACGCGGCAAAGCCGATCGCTTTGCGTGACGTACCTCAGGACGTGCAGCGGTCTATGACTCTGCCATGTTCCAGTCCTTCAAATATGAGCTTCTCTATGCAGAAATGCGGAAACGCGATTTGTCGATAAAAAACAAGTAATCATTCCAGTTCGAACATCCGAAAACCATTTTAGCTAAACATGAAGGTGAACGTTTGTTCGTCTGTATGTCTGCGTATCCGTATGTGTATACACGTATGTCCCAAGTAGAATTTTTTTGCAAACTTATTTCGGATTGCACACACTTTGAAATGGGGATGATACCGTAGGCTACTTTCCGCTTGGATCGTATCGATCTTACCAGTTTTTCGCAAAATTTAAGCTAGAGGCTGCGAGTGGGCGTAGGGGGTGGTGGGGGAGGGAGGTAAAAGAGCCTGCTGATTATGAAAACATAGGGAGGCAGGGCATCATTTGAAGGTAGGACCGAGACAGGAAAATGTCAAACGAGAATAGGGCATACCAGTCATAGTAAAGGCTGCTGCATGACGAATGCGCAATACCTTTGGGCGCGATCGCGGCTTTATGAGCCGCAGAGCCCATGAGGCGCGGGATTTACAACGGTGAGGATACGTGCGCGTCGCTTTCGCGCCCGCTCAACTAATATTACTTCTGCGCCTTCGTCATGCAGCAGCCTTTATATTGACAGGGTCGGCGAAGCCGGGTACGTCAGCAGCTTGTCAAATCTAGAAATTCATCTGAAGTACTTTCAAAGTGTAGAAATATAGAAAGGAGAAATGATTATCAGCATAGTTGTAGCAAATAGTCGAGTAGATTTGCCACTTGATACAGTGTGATCGCCGAGAAAATGCGGTGAAATTTGCACATGAGTGAATAGGTGGGCTAATATTACGGGTCACTAGCGCGCGCCAAATGCAGGCATTATTGCATGGCTATTTGTTCACGCGCAAATTTTACCGCATTTTCTCGACACCGCAAGCACATTATCTTAAGCGGGGGTTAACTCGACTGTACACATTGGAAATTTTGACAACTCGTCCGCAATTGCTGCAATACAAGCTATTATAGTTTGACCAGAACCGCCATTCTAGACTGAGTGCCAGCTATCAACTTTGTTTGGCGCAATGTCCACAAAATCCAGCGAAGCGCATCCTCCTTAGTGGGCAAAAGGCATGGAACATTATATGTTACGACTTCAGAAATGACTCAGGTACTCGTTCACTCTGAAAATTGTTGTAGAACCAAAAAAAAAACTTATCCTTTCAGACTTCCGCAAATTTGTTGTGCCATGTTGGTCGAAGCAGGGCTTGACGCTGACAGAGCAGTGCTCCTCTCTGGCACGGACTCTTCACTTGGAAATGATTCAGCTCATGGAAGGAGGCTTGGACAATTTGAGACAGGGTATGGACACACTATGCAGGTAGCAACAGCAAAGTCTTCATTTTCTGATAGATCTAACTCTTTGGCATGTTTATGTTTGAGGAGCGTTCATTCTTACGATAGCTGCTTTATAATGAAGAGTCATGAGAGCTGCGGAGTAAAGGCTGCAAAGTTCCTTGTCAAGCTGACCCACCAAACATCACAGTGAGTATGCGTATGCAAGAATGTTATTCGATTTTACAAGTTTCGTTGAGCCGCACTCAGAATTTGACTGAGTTAGCGCCGTGCCAGATTCGTCGATCCATCGCCACTGTACGATCCACGTTGGCGCTGGCACGGCGCTAGCACGGCGCTAGCACTGCGCTGCACAGGGACAACTTCAGCTTCTGCCAGTATCATCAGTCAGACGTTTACTATTCAGCGCTCTGGTTGACCTGCTGGATGAGGTGCTAGGTGTTAGAGACTTGCCTAGAAGTTGTCTCGACTGGCTGGTGCACAACTATGCCTCAAAATCGGGACCAAGAGGTATTGCCAAACGTATGAAGACTTCCAGAAGAACTTCCTTAGTCATGGTGCTTCTTGTTGTGATCTGCTACAACATAATTTTTTGTGTGAATCAACTGCTTTGAAGTTCATGCTGGTCATATAACTCAGTATGTGAACTGCACATAAGCCGCGTAACCCTGCGACGTTTTATATAGATTAAGATGAGAGGAAGTCAAACACGAGATCAAGAAATCCTGTTCGACTCGGTAATACAACGAAGACCAATCAACCCACAATATTTCTGGGGGCCCTATCCTGAAGACACGGACGACTTTTAGCACCTGGATGGGCGGAGCTTGGTAGATGGGCGTGGTTTGATAGCATTTTCGCGGGATCCAGGTCTACTTTTCCATTCAGAGGCCGCATTGAAGGACTGGATCAACGACGGCTTTCTCTGGGGCTTGCTTTTAGGTTAGTTGCTAAACGATAACATAGATTTTGCCTGGACGCTGCTCTCACCCTGTTGACCATCGCATTTCTATTGAGAATGCGTAAGATTGTCTCTGCCGCTTCATGAGCGGCGTTCGAGCAGCTACAGTCTGTTTCAATCGGATATAGGCCGAATCATTCGTAACGGTGCGTCCACGAGACTTTGCGCGCGTAGCACTGGCATTTGCCAATCAAGGATCGAAGAGAATGAGGAGACGCAGACGGGTTTCCGCATACTGAGTAGCGATACGGCGCGGACCGTTGAGAGGGGCACGTCTGCCACTGCGATTTCGGCCCAAAGTGTGTTGACACCAACTGTACGTGTTGCGACACTGCGCATTATACGCCTTACGAATAAAAGAACCACGTGCACGCTCTAGCAAAGCACTATTGATCAGGGAGCTTTAACGCTTCAGTGCTGGCCGGAATCCGAGAGCCTATAGCTAGATGTCCGTTCTGCAGCCGCGCTGCGTGGCCTGGCTTGCAACGACTTCGCAGCGCGCGGCTGCCACAGTTGCACATATTGAGTTAAGTTGACTCGTCCAATCTTAGAATTCATGTCTTTCATCTCGAAATCTATGTTTGTTACCTTGGATGTGCAAACAAGGGAGTGCTTCGATTGAATAGCTAATACACTAAATTACAGTTGATTGTTATGCATGCAATGTGTGTTATATACTTGAAAGCAGCGTACACCTAAAATCTATGCTAACCCGTTGTCTATAGGGTGTATATGTAAGACCCAGAATAAGACCAACTGCGTTGGTCCGGTCTCCCAATGTTAAGTTGAGAAAACGCGCCTGATTCTTCTGCGCTCCGCCCCTTTTTTTGCGGTCCTCCTTCAGACGAATCCAAGACAGCGTAAGCTGCACTTGCAGTTGCAATTGCAGGCTGTTATACAGTTGCAGCTGCTCCTCGCTGGCATGCCGACGGGGTCGAGCAATTCTCGTCCGCCCTCTGAAGGTAGGGTCCGCGTGAATCGGGGTTTTGGGGGTTTCTGGAAATTTTCAATTTCATAACTGTCATCAGGGTCACGGAAAAGCCCCAGGATGACAAAACAGGGAGGCGAAATTTTGGGTGTACGCTGCCTTTATGAGGATTTTACTGTCGGTGAGTTAATGTACAAAGCAATTGCAGATTCCAGGATTTGGTCATAGAGGTTTGTGTGCTTAGAAGTAAATGACTTTTTCAATGTCTTCCATGATTTCTCAAATTTATGGGGATCCATTAAAAAGGAAAAGGAAGTGAATAAAAATTCGTGGCACCCTCCTAGTGCAAGCGACTGATTGGCAGACTAAATTCTGGATCAAGCGCGTTTGCATTTCCGGTTTGATTCTTCTTATTGTACTATGTCGGGTTTTTTACGTGCTGTCTCGTTGATATTCTTGAGCGATTCTATTTAGTGATTTAATTGGAATAAATATTGTCACAGTTACTACTCTTGCTGTAATCCTACCAAAAAAATCGTGAAAAGTGAAAGATCTGCCTTGATCGTAGCTCTCTCACGTTAATTAGCATGTCGTTTATCCTCTTCTTGATTCTACAATTTCTACGTTTCTCTAGTGGTGTAACTACACCAATGAAAATGTGTTTTAGAAGTATGATCCGTCATATTCAATTAAAATAATTGGAAATCGCTTTAGCTTATCTTCCTACCTAAATTGAGATTTGCATCGCAGCAAAGGATTCCGTTATGGCCAGTATTGCATGCAAGGTTTTGTAACCAAAACATTGTTTATAATTATACTTTAGATGTGGCGTACTGATATGCGGGGCTAAGAAAAAGAAAAAATGAGCATTCTAGGTAACAATTTCTCACACATAGAGCACAACAGAAACTGATCGAGGCAAAGATACAAGTTCTTTTGAATAACTTCTCCAAAGCTAATAAAAAAATTTCAAGGCCGCGAGTCATGAACCTGAAACCCTTGTGCGGTAGTTGTTTGAAGATGGCGATTTTAAGAAAGAATTTATGGTTTACTGATAAGTAACTTTGTATTAACAACTGCTAAATGTGCTGTGGAATGTTCCTAATTGCATGTGTGACTAAACGATAGAGACCGTTGCGGTCTGATTATCTTATAAGGAAGTTTTAGATTCATGGAAGACTGTCGCTACAGTAGTCCTCCACATTCAAAAGACTAGTATGAGAGCCACTGTGGTAGTTCTCGTTGGTTAGAGTGAAACTATGCCTTGTCAAATGCTGTAAATCCATTCAAGAATTATAAGAGGCTTCTGCTAGATTCCTGAGTATGCACCACAATTAGGGGACGCTTTTGTTAGAGAGGAGTGGTGATACAGAAGGAATTCTTAAACTGAACTTCAATTCGCATTATTCTCGCTGAATTTCGGAAACGTCATCAACTGTCTTGAACTCAGTGTTTAAAACGATTAGGCGGAAAGTGCTGACTCCCATATTTTTCAAGTTATACATCGTCAGATCATCTGAATTTGTGAGTGATACTTGCTAATGGTCTGTTAAAATTTGGCATATCTCATCTATCAGGTTCGCTAATATTAGGTCGTTCCATAAGTTCGTAGCGTTTTCATTTTTGTCGTCGTTTTCTGGTGAAGCGGTAGGTTTACAACAAAATGTGTGTACCCCCCGAAAGAGCCAATTCTACTCTACAAGAACTGCGTTTTATTTTCAAAGTGAACTTGATGACCTTTGTTTTGTGAATGCTCAAAGCAGAGTATTTTGTATAGCAAAAAATGGCGCTTTCGGCATCTCCATCTTCGGCGCTATATACGGAAGTTACGAGAGGAAAATTTCTATTCAAAATTGTTATGAGTGATGAAGAATATTGTTTACCGTACTATAATGCACGATGAACAAGAATCCTTGTCAAGGGAGACGCCACAGAGAATAATAGAGCTCACTTTTACGGTATGTGTAGATGTTTTGCGTTTGGCCGGAATGAGGAAGTTTTCTGAGCCAAAATTTTTCGGAAAAGCGTAAAATCGTGGCCACCGGTTGCATTAAACTTTTGCACCACCTAGACAAAGCTGTTCATCGCTCAAGGCTTGATAGCATGACGAGAACACTCTGTTACGCGATGACGCGTAAAACTCAAGGCTGCAGCAGTCGAAGACAGCAACTTTTGAGACTTCGTTCAAACAGTTCTTAGCATATTGGATGGACGCCATTGTGTCAGCACATCAGCGTTGCTTGCTACTTGCTACTCTAACTATACGTGCAGAGAAATATTTGTGGGATATGGACGAAATGCGAAAAGCGGTGCCGAAATGGCCATTTTTTGCCACTCAAAAAACTTTGCTTTGAGAAATTATGAACCAAAGATCATCAGAATTGCTTCAAAAACAACAAGCAGGTTTTGTAGAAAGAACTTGGCTGTTTCTATCAATGCCAGATAATTTGCCGTAAACCAAGTGCTTCACCAGAAAACGACGACGAAAATGAAAACGCTACGAACTTATGGAACGACCTAATAAATAAGTTCGGTCGCTTCTGCGCTCTTACAAATGCTGCAGACAAGTTGTCCAATGTTTATCTCTAAAAAGAGCACTTTAGTGGGAGTTGGAGAATAAATTCTGTTGTGTAGAACTTGTCTTCCAAGAAAAAAAATTCGAAGAAGTTAGAAACACCAATTTTCTCATAGCTCGCAAATATGAGGAAATTTGGTTTTCAATAAAAGATTTTCAAGGCAGATCACAATTTTCATGGTTGTTCACTAAATAAAGGAAACTCCTCGAGAAAACTCCTCTGTATCCAAATTTCAAACTGCTGTCCTCTACATCCATTACGGCATGAAAACGAAGCTTAGGAAGTCAAAGAGTTGAGCTTTTGGAAATCTAGCCATGTTGAGGCATTATTGTACTGATAATAGAAAATCCGGAACATTTGACATGTGATAGAGGAAGCCATGAACTACTTTCCCACAAAGAACCATGTATGGAAATAATAAGAAAAATTTTTATGAAGAGTTGCATGCCAAAACGAACTTATTTTTTAGACATAATAATAACTTTCAGACCAAAAAATATGTAGAATGTTCTCAAAAACGGCATGTGAGCAATAGGACTTACAGGCGTAGACAAGCAATTTCACACAAACAGCGATTCATGTGTCAGAGCCAGAGTTCGAAATTCTGAACTACTCAAAGTTGAGGATCTGAAATTAAGATTCATAAATTGTTGACACCTCATGGCAGGCTGCTTCTTCAGCCCATTTCATTGAAATTTGTGAGTGGTTGACGTCTCAAATAGAATTTGAAAAAGCACTGCGAAAGCCTTTGACTGCTGTACAGGAAACTCTACGTTCTTACAATTTGTGCAAATCGTAAGGTTTTGAAGTCTTACAAGTTTTGTAAGCGAAGTTATCTGTAGACGGATTCATCCGCAAATGAAGGTGCACTTGTTTATGCCATATTGGTACTTACATACCTGTAAATACGTAGAGATGTTTAAAAGCGATTTCAATAAGAAATGGGTTAAAAATAGCTCACAATTAGAGGTACTTCAGAAAATTAGGCTGGAAAAGTACGTGCCCAAAAGACGAGAGGACGATTTGTCAAGAGTTTCGAAACGCCCACTGGCTTTTTGTGTAAAATTTGTCAGGGAGGAAAAATTCATGGGATTACATTACTATGTGCCATACGCAGACGCAGTACCTATTTGTGCGTACATCAAAAACTTTCAATAAGCTCGGCTCTGAGTATTTTGTTTTCCAACATAAGCTAGGCTGATGCGTGTTCACCTATACCTTGTA